GCCACATTCATCTCCCCACTGCGCCCATTGTCTCTGGCCAGAGGTCTTCCCTTCCCAGGTAACTCTCCGCAGCGACCTGAGCGAGCTTTCAGAATACTGTGTGTTTGTGCGGTGGTTTAAGAATCTTTGAAATCATTTCCATATTTAAGTAGGCAAAATATCTGCAAGTGAGGGAAATGTGGGACTACAAATGTACCCTATGCGTTCTTCTTTTTCCCCTTTCCTCAGCTAAACTGTTCCTCTCCTTACAGGCAACCACTCCTGGAGCTTTCTGGCTCTTCCTTCTAGAAATTTTGCATGCATCTGAAAACATACCCCGGTAGAGTACACACCATTGTTTTTTTTTGTTGTTTGTTTGTTTGTCTTTTTGGGACAGGGTCTCACTATGCAGTTCAGGCTGCAAACTCACTTTGTAGCGCAGGCTGGCCTCAAACTCACAGTGATGCCTCCCACCTCAGCCTCCTGAGTGCTGGGATTACAGGCGTGTGCTACCATGCCTGACCTTATTTATCTTTAAGTTTTCACTGGTTTTTGTAACACACTATACTATCCACTATCCAATATGATAGCCACCAGCTACAGGTAATCTAGGAACACTTATATACAGCAACTATGTCTGAGGCATCAGAATTTTAAAACAAGAGACCTAGCCAGGTATGGTGCTACATGCCTATAATATGCTGGGAGGCTGAGGCAGGAGGATCTCAAGCTCAAGCCCACCATGGGCAATTTAGTGATTTAGCAAAATCCTGTCTCAAAGTATAAAAACAAAACAAAACAGGAAAGACCTGGGGATGTAGCTTCATGCAAAGGTCCTGGTTTCAATCCCCAGTACCACACACACACACACACACACACACACACACACACACATGCTAGACTGATGTTTCCTATGTTGCTTCATTCCTCATTCCACCATGTAGGGGTGCTGGCCAGGGATGTGTGTGGATATGCAGAGATAAAGGACTTTTAGAGATACACATAAAACTTTCCAGAATGCATGATAGCCTATAGGGCCACAAGTCCAAGTAGAAACAAACACACCTTCTTAAGGACTGAATGCTCTGGCCTTCGTCCTCCCCATATTCTGATTTATTACTTATATTGGCCCAAAGGTCAGTCAGGTAACAGAACACCCTGACCTTACTCTGTCCTTCCCCTGTCCCCTACACAAATTCCTGCCCCAACATCCTTCCTTGTCTTTTATCCTTGCTTCCTGGTTCTAGCAATAAAAAGCCACAGAAGCTTTAGATCAGGGCCGTCTGTATGAGACTCTGTCACGCTGAGGGGTCTTGGTAAGGGCAGTCCCTCTGGGTCTTCGTGGAGTTTGAGCTGAACATTGACTCCAAGTAATCATTCATCCTTTGTGCCACGCCACAGTCACGGAGTGTGACACCGCTGTGTGGTATGTATATCCTCAAGTTTTCTGAAACGAAGCCTATGCAGCTGTCATGAGTGCAGCCACTAAAATCATTCAGTACTTATGTGAAAATGCTGTGAGCCATTGATAGTTTATGGAACTGTTAAAAGAAGCAGGAGACAATCAAAGCTCGTTGTTCAGCGTGGAAGAGTTTTCCTAAGATTTACTGTACTCTTGCTTAACTAATTCCAAGATTTTCTGGAAAAAAAGAAATGCTCACTAAGTAGTTAATAAGATTTTAAAAGTCACTGTACGTTTTCTCACTAATACCACACTACATATAACTGAGCTAAATTTGAAGCTTGAAGGAGAAGAAAGCTCTTTTGTGACCTAGTCAAACAAATACAAAAATTTTGAATTAAATCTCTTCCTAACAGTAATCAATAACTATAATTTTACACACTTCTCTCACATGAATCGATCTCCAGAGGTTTAATTACACTGGTCAGCACTATGTAAATTAGCTGTAAAAGTTACAAGAAAGTCTACTGCCATGCCACTAGGCCTAAACAGGCCTGATCTTATCTGATCTGGGAAGCTAAGCAGGGTTGGGCCTGGTTAGTACTTAATACTCGGATGGGAAAAATTACAAGAAAAATATGAACACTTTGATGATATTGATAAATTTGGCATTGCTTTAGGATTTATGTGATGTCATTTTGAATTTGTTAATTATATTGAGTTTATATAAGAGTCAGTGTATTTACTTGGATAGCTGTAGTTTAAAAATCGATATGCTTCTATTTCAAAGTCAAACTGCTTCTAAAAAAAGATTAAACTAATATGTAGTACTCAGGAAACTTTTTTTGTGGGGGACTGGGAATTAAACTCAGGACCTTGTGCTGACCAGGCAGGTGCTGTGCCACTGAGCTATATTCCCAGCCTGCTAAAGATATGTATGTATGTATATATATATAATATATATATATATATATACAGAGAGAGAGAGACAGAGAGACATATCTATATATCTATATGTATATATATATATATTTTTGATACTGGGAATCAAAAGGAAATTCTTGTTGCACATATAAAAAAGATAAACTAGTTTGTCATGTGGCTGGAAATATTAAAGAAAATTGTTCAGTTATTGGAAAACTAAGTTCAGAATACTTTATTTATTTATTTATTTATTTATTTATTTATTTATTTATTTATTTATTTTCCAGTGCCAGGAACCAAACTCAGGACTTTGCACTTGCCAGGCAGGCGCCTGTGCCACTGAGCTATATCCCTGACCCTTTTTTTTTTCCCCAGAATACTTTAAGTGAGGCTAGAGAGCTTTTCTCACAGGACGCTCAAGGATATCGTTAGCTATCATGATAGGGAAATCCTGTTCCCACTCCCGGATGGGAGGTACCATCTGGAGCTGAGTTCCTGACTGTGCCCTAAGTCCCCCCTTCGCACATCCAGACCTGTGACTTCTCTGCAGTAGGACCCCCACTTTCTGAGGTGCCCATCTCACATTTCTTTTGCCTTACATGACAATGACAGAAATCTGCTCTGGTGGCCAGGCTGGCCTCAAACTCCTGAACTCAAGCAATCCTCCTGCCCCAGCTTCTGGAGTAGTTGGGGACTACAAGTGTGCACTACCACATCTGGTTCTCCAAGGTGAAGTTACATGGCAATTTAATTTACATGGCCTCCCTCCCCACTGCCACCACCCTGCTGACAGCCTCCCTTCCTCACCCTGAGCTAGGATAGAACTAAAGACTATGTCGAAAGGAGACCAGGAAATCAAGATTTTAAAATTATACTTAAAAAAAACACATGACAGCTTCAAGTCACAAAAGTTACTCAAGCCTTTTTTTTTCCCTTCCAGGAAACTCACTAAAAAAAAAAAATTCTAAAGGTCCTTTATGGGAAGTGTAAATCCGGGCTCCTCCATCCTCCGGAAGCAGCGATACTGGTGGGCAGCAGATCTCAATCCCAAACACACATGTCCTCACAGACAGTAAAAGTACACATCCCAGATCACCCATCTTGAAGACGCCCCCTAAATGTGCCCTGTGTGCCTCATGGGAGTGCCCGTGTGCTGCTCAAGCGCACCCTAGAATCCCAGGAAACCTTTCTCATGTCTCTTTCACTGATGCATCCTGACAATTCTTATTTCAGCCTTGGGACCTCTCAGACCCAGCCCCGTGACAAGCCCAGGCCATACGTGACGTCGGTCTGAGCCCCTGCGTGTGCTGCCGCTGAGCACCCCTGCTGCCGTGGGTCCTTGCTCCAGTGATAATGGAAATGAAAACCGAGGCGTTCAGCACAAACCGACAGGAAAATAACTGAACAGTGAGACCATGCCAGACCCCTAACAAAGGCAAGTGAGAAATGATAGGAAAATGGCTTCTGTTTGAGAAACTGAGAGGGACGTAGCTCTGAAGAGGTGGGTCTGACTGGTGCCAACAAAGAACGGAGGGCCAGTTTTACGGGGTGGTGTGGTGGGTTGGGTGCTGGTTGATCATGATCTCAGTCCTGGTTTCCTCGCCTCAGAGGAAGCTCACGCTAGAGGTCATTTTGGTTCCTCGAGGTGATCGTGTCTGCTTGACAGGTGACCTCACCACAGGGCGGACTGTGAGGCTCTGCTTTCCCTGGAACCCGAGGTGACGGCAGGCTTAGCACAGTGGCTGGAGACCTGTAGGCACTGCTCTAGAGCAGTGACCGCGAAGCTTTTAGAGCTTTCTGATAACGAACGGCCTGGTGTGGCACGAATGCCATAGGTTCGCCACCACTGCTCTGGAGGGATCTCAAAATGGGGATTTTAAAAGCTGGTGATTGGATGATCCTGCAAATTGTGGAAATTTACCTTGGTGTTCTCAGTGTTGAAGTAGAATGAAAGAGGTGAGGTGAATTCAGGGCTCATCAACCTTACAATGAATACCTCCTGAATGATTAGCATGCCCGCAGGCAGAGCAGGGCTGGGGGCTGACCCGGAGTCTTAGGATAATGAAGGAGACATGGAATGAGGGCAGAGATGCCCAGTTTCACCCTGCTCTGAGTCACCCGTGGGCATTTGCAGGTGCAGCCTCTGGGTCACTGACCACCTCAGAAGAGAACACAGATCGTCTTTTAATGCCTGCTAGGTTAAGGGCCCAGGACTTTGTCGCCTGTAAGGACGAGACATAAGGAAGAGCCAGGAGAGCAGCGTGCAGGGTCCACACTGGATCCTGGACACCTCAGTCGGCCCTGTGGAGAAACCTTACTTCTCTGTGAGGCACTAGGGGGTGGGAAGCAGGGGTGACGCCTCAAGGCCTCCTGTGGCTCAAGGCTTTCTGTATTTCTGGGAAGCAGTCCTTGAAATAGAGGCTTCAGGGCGCTGGAGATTCCCTTCACCCAGCGGGGGCCTAGGCATTACCTGGGTAGTGGGGCAGTCACAGGAAGCCACTCGGGGATTGGGACGCTCACGGTGGTGGCCGTGGCTGGGAGAAACCTGGCCGGGGGTGGGGAGGGACCGAGGACTGCCGACCTCCAGGCCTCTTGCTCCTGGTAAGCAGACTGCATGGCCAGGCTCAGGGTCAAGGCTGGGAGAGGGGGAGGAGCGGCCAGGCTGGAGGGGGCCCAGGAGGCGGGGCTGGGGCTGGTGGGGGCGGTGCCATGGTGGGGGAGGGACAGGACGAGCCTGACAGCAGGCCAAGGTCTCAGCGGGGAAGGCTGGGAGAGACCCCAAGTCACGGGGAAGGAGGTAAGGCGTGAGCAGGGGAAGGGTGGGTGGCGGAAGGACCCAAGGCCACACATATAAAGCCCTTGCCTCAAGGTGACAGCCCTGGGGTCCTTTTCACCGAAGGCCTCACTTTCTGCATCAGTTCTTTTCTGGTGAGTTCCAAGACCCCTTGTCCGGGCAGGGCTTTCCGGGGAAGTGGGAGGGAGGTGGTGGTGAGGGACCCAAAAAGGAGGCAGAGGAGGGAGGCCCTTCCTGAGGCCAGCAAGCCAGGGCCTGGCAAGGGGACCCCATTTCAAGGGCACGACAGGGCTGATGGCAGTCCCGGCCCCAGTTCGGGGAGGGTCCACCCGCCCAGTGCCCCGTTCCTGCCTGTTTACTCCTCCGGGACATTTGGCCTCCAGCTGTCTCCCCTCCCCCCCCCCACTGCTGGCGTGGGCCTGGGATGGGGTGCGGGCTCTGCAGCGGGGAGATTCCAGACTGAAGGCTGGGGGGCGGGCAGCAGTCCCGGAGAGAATGGCTAGAACAGGGGCTGCTGGCGGGGAATTCTGCTGAAGCTCCGCTGGCCAGAGGGGAGGAAGACACAGGGGTGATTCCGGGAAAGGCTATTTCCTCCCCCCTCTGCAGGAGTCAGTGGCTCCCAGCTGGTGGGAAGAACCGAGGACCACAGGTTGTCTGCAGGGCCGAAGGATGAGGCGGCTGTTGATCCTGCTGGCCCTGTGGCTGGGCACGGAGGGTGTAGGTGGGGTTGAGCTCACCACAGTGCAGCGCAGGGGCCTGCAGGTGGCCCTGGAGGAGTTCCACAAACACCCGCCTGTGCAGTGGGCCTTCCGGGAGACCAGCGTGGACAGCGCCGCTGACACGGTTAGTTAGGGTTGGGAGGCCACGAGCTACACCCGGGAGGCCAGCGCAATCGCAAGGAGCTGGCAGGAGAGAGGCCACCAGCTGGGCCTCCTCCTCAGCTATGCTGGCTCAGTGCACGGTGGGGGCAGGGCTTGGTCACCCAGCTCAGAGCAAAGGCCTCCTGTCATCTGCAGCCCTTCCCAGCGGGCACCTTCGTACGCCTGGAGTTCAGGCTCCAGCAGACGGGCTGCCGGAAGAAGGACTGGAAGAAACCTGAGTGTAAAGTCAAGCCCAATGGGGTGAGCATGTGCCACAGGGCCCAGGCTGCTGCTGGACAGAACCGGGAGGTCCAGGCAGAAGCCCTGGGGACGGGCCCCACTGTGAGGAGCCTCCCTGGAGGTGGAAGGGGCTCCTGTGAGCCACCGGGAAGCAGGCCTGGCCTAGGCAGGGAAGGAGGGCTGGGGTGGGCAAGGGAAGGAACGACTCGCCTTCTTCCGAGCGAGCGAGGCTTCTGCTGGGCCTCGGGTTCCTGGTGGGAAGAGCCTGGGTATGGGTTTGTGCAGCGCCTGCTCCAGGCCGTGGCCGACTCACAGCAGGGCGTCACAATGACCAGGGCACAGGTGCTGCTACGGGCCGGTCCCTGGGCTGGGGTGCAGCCATCGGGGCTCCAGTCCCCCCTCTGGGAGCACCAACCCTGGGCTTGTGGGCTTCCTCCCTCTGCTAGGGGCAAGGACTGGATTTATCAGTGCTTTTCAAATCCTGTGTTTCTGAACCCCTGTATTCAGTCAGATTTTACAAGACAATGTCAACAAGCAGAACAGAGCACAGCGGAGAGGTTCTGGAGGAGTCAGGTGGAGGCGCATCTGGGGGGGACTGTTGCGTTACACACCTGCGCCCATGCACGCGCTTGTGCACACACCCACAGGCTTGTATACACATAGCACACACGAGTGCACATGTATACGCACACATCGGGAACGATCCCTGCCCCCACGAACACTAAAGTGCCACAGTGTTAAACTTCAGGATTTTTTTTTAAAGTTTTTTTGAGACAGGGTCTCACCATGTAGTTCAGGCTGGCCTTGAACTCACTTTGCTGCCTCAGACTTGTGGCAAGCCTCCTGCCTCAGCCTTCCAAGTGCTGGAATTAACAGGCACGCGCCACCACACCCAGCACTTCAGCTTTCTTTGACTTCTAAACTCTCCCAGTCCTGGGGTGGGCTATGTCAGACTGAGCTGGCCTGCATGATCGCTTGTCCCCCAGGCCACAGCCTGCCAGGGGAGCGGGTCCCCCCTATGGGCAGCCCCCAGCTCCACCCTCATAGTGCTGATGCCTTCCCTACCACCCTCCCTCTCCCCAGAGGAAGCGGAAATGCCTGGCCTGTATTAAACTGGACCCTGAGCATCAAGTTCTGGGCCGGATGGTCCACTGCCCCATAGAGACACAAGGCCAGGTAAGCAGGGCAGCGGCCAGAGAGGCGGCTGGAAACCAGGGGACAGCGGAGGAAGCGTGGATGAGAGGGAGGAGCAAGAAGGGACCCCAGGCATGGTGGGCTTTCCCTAAAGATGTTGGCACTTTCTGGGCACTGCTGCCCTCCTGGAACTGCCTGACCAATTGTTGGCGCCAGCAGCTCCAGGAGCCCCAGTGCAGCAAGGTGCAACGGGCCGGCGAGGACCCCCATAGCTTCTACTTCCCTGGACAGTTCGCCTTCTCCAAGGCGCTGCCCCCCAGCTGAGCCCTGGACTGGTAGGTGGCTGAGGGCAGGGACAGCCCTTGGGATGGAGACTGGGTTGCTGCCGGGCTGCGGGAGGCAGGGACGAAGAGATGGACTAGAGCCTGGCAGAGGGCTGAGGCTGCGGGGAGAGGGCACCCAAATCTCAGGTTTGTTCCTTCTCTCTAGAATCCCAGCTGGCTTCCCACACAGTGTGGCAGGTGGCCCCACCCTCCCAGGCAGAAGATCCGCCGTACCCAGGGCCAATAAAACTGTTCTCCAAGCCTGTTTCCTGTACCCATCATGTTGCCCTGGGCACTTGGTTCAACCCGTGGGAAGCCAAAGGGAAAAGGGCGTGGGGGTGTGTGGGCGCATGCACGCGTGTGCACGTGGGAGGCCGACAGGCGCACGTAAGGCAAGAGGAGCTCTTGTGCAGGACCGGAGGCCGAGGCCCTGCAGCCCAGGCATCGGGACAAATTCCGAGCTGTTTAATGGAGCTGGGGAGAGTGCAGCAAAGGCACCAGGGAAGCAGAGGCCTGGGCATGGGGCACTTGTCTGCTGCAGGGGCAGGCGTGGAGGGCGGTGTGTTCTAGCTGCCACCCTGTCTGGGCTCTGCAGGGCTGGCTGGCCACTGCTGCTTCCCCACTGCAGCCTTAAGCAGAAGCAAGCCTGTGCGCCGAGTCTCCTGGCAGCCAGGAGTGGGCTGAGTGGGCTCTCACGGCGTATGTGCCAGCTGCCCAGGAGCACCCTAAACCCGCTAGGAGCTGCCTGGGAGTTGCGTCCTGCCCCTTGTGCAGTGAGGGTGGGGAAGCGTGCTGGAGGGGAGAGGGGGGGAGGGGAGGCTCTCGAGGTAAGGACGGATGAACCCGCAGCTGAGCATGTAGGGTCCGTGACCAGCGTGAGGGCCAGCATGCAGAAGCGAAGAAAGGCAATGCAGGCATCGGGGCCACAGGGCACATTCAGAAGACAAAAGAAGAGGCAGAGCCCTCCGGGCTGAGGGCCTGCTCGGCCCGGGCCAGGCTGTCACTGGCCTGCCGGTCCAGGTCATAGCACTCCTGCAGCGTGTCCTGGAACTGCCTGCAAGCCTCCTCCAGGATGGAGCTGCTCCGGGAAGGCCAGGACTCCCAGTACCCGGGCTCCACCCAGGGCTGGGCCTCTGTGGCTCTAGGGCCAGGGCTGGAGCTGGGGCGCAGAGAGCTGTCCAGGTCCCGGCACAGCTGGTAGAGCTCACTGCCACGGCCACTCACGCGCTCCCCATCGATGACTTTCAGGCCGGGCAGCAGCTCCTGGACCGTGGCCCAGTAGGATGGGCTGGCACACAGCGGGTTGCTGAGACGGGCCAAAGGGTCCCGGAGGCGCAGGTACTCCAGGCTCCGCAGCCCGGCCAGGCACAGCAGCTGGCCAGGGGTGGCCAGCAGGTTGCCTGCGGCGTTGAGACTCTGCAGGTTCTCGCAGGCGGCCAGCGGCTCCAGGCTGGTCAGCCGATTGTTGGAGACGTTCAGCACAGTCAGCTGGCGCAAGGAGGCCAGCGGGCCCAGCTGGGTAAGCGCGTTGCCCGACAGGTCCAGCCACTCAAGGCCCAGGCACTCTCCCAAGCAGCCCAGGTCGGCCAGCCCCAGGCCTTGCAGCTTCAGCAGCAGGATGGACTCCAGGGCGAACTCACCCGTGTGTGACTTCAGCAGCTGGGGCGTGATGCGCGGCCCATCCGCCTCTCCCGGCTTCTCGCCTGGAGGCTCCATGACACCAGCTGGTTCAGGTGGCTTGAGCCCTGGCAGGGCTGTCACAGGGGCGTGGGTGCCACTGGGGGTCAGCCGCTGCTCTCCCCTGAAATAGGCACCTTTGGGTGTGCGCAGGCCAGTGCGCGGAGGCCTGGCTCTGGTTCCCGACTGGAGGGCCCGCAGGTCCCTGAGGAGAGACAGTTAAGAGTCAGGCACTTCTGCCACCTGTGTAGCAGGGACAGCCTGATGTTTGACCCACGCCTTTACCGCCAGAGCCAGCAACCAGGATGCCAAGTCCGGAGACACAGCAAGGCGCAGCCCCTCGCCAGAGGGGCGTGGCCGTGGCTCATGCTGGTGGTGACAGCCATGCTGTTTGGGACTCAGGGCCAACTTTGCCAATTCTGTCCATCCTGACTCGGTCAGGTCTGCACAAACCCATCCTTACTAACCTCACTGAGGCTCTCATCTTTAAAAGGTCTGATTTATTTCTAAATAGACAAGGGGTCACCGCCAGCACAAATGTCTTTTGCTTCCTTCCCGGGGTAGCGACGTCCATGCAAACCCCAAAAGATTACCCTGCCCTGCTTCATTCACTCAAAAAATGCTCTCTCAGCTGGGCGAGGTGGTGCACACCTGTAATCCCAGCACTCTGAGAGGCTGAGGCAGGAAGATGGTGTCTCAAGAAAATGAAAAAAGGAGGCTGGGAATGTAGCTCAGTGTGAGGGCTTCGGGTTCAATCGGAACTACATCAAAAAAGAAAACAAAAGTGCTCTCCATTTTTCTAAATTTAATGTGTTTCCTAGAGAACACCTTGACTGGAGCCGCTGGGAGAAAAGGTACGCTCTTACTCTCCTCTCTGCTTTTACTCTTAGGTGAGGGAGGAAACGGAAGCTGAGGCCAGGGAAGCCGTGGTGTCCACAGGGGCAGCTGGTTTCCATGCCCGTGCTGCCCATTCACACCGGCACTTTGCTCTGGCATCAACTGGTCACTGCGTGCCGACAGCTCAGGGCCACCTGCAAATAGGACGTCACCGTTCCAAACAGCACGCTGGGGGCGGCCAGTTTGAGGACACTGCCTGCAGGGCGGCGCGGGGCATCTGCTGGCTCTGAAGGGTGAAGAGGCCATGGCAGGCCCCAGTGTCTGTGCGAGGCTGGGCTGTGAAGAGGGGCGGGGGAGGGATGACGGTGATGCTGCCCAGAGGGCCAAGGTTTAAGCGGAGGACAGTACGAGCGCACCTCTGCTCCCAGGGCAGCCTCCCAGCCTGGGCGGCTACGCGGGGCAGGCAGGTGTGTGCATGTCTGTGTGACACACAGACAGGCCCTCGGAACCCCCGTCCCTGCTGCTTATGGAACCTGCAGGCACAGGTGCTGGCGACTTCCACCTCCGACTTCACATGATTAACACTTTTATTCTTCCTCCAAGGAAACCAGCGAGGGCCCAGTCCTTCAGGTCCACCCACCCTGCCAGCAAGGACCTTAAGGGGTTCCCACCAGGGAGCTGGGGGGCTCTGAGCAGATCCTGCACGTACCTCCCACGCCCCGTCCCAACAGAAAGAGACTGACCGCAGCCACTGAGAGTGTGCAGCAGGGTGTGACAGCTCCATTCCTAACCAGAGCCGCCCTAGTCCCCAGGGCAGAGGGTGCCGGCAAGCACCAGACACCAGACACCTGTGTCTGTGCCACAGCAAGACACAGGCCAAAGCAAACAAGGGCATGGGCAACAGCGGACGGATCTGGCCAGGTGTCTGGCAGGGCCTTCCTTCTTAGACCGGAGGGGCCGAGACGGGACCAGAAGACATCTAAGGGGCTGTGGGAGTGGCTCAGTGGCAGAGTGCTTGCCTAGTGTGCACGAGACCAAGTTCGACCCCTAGCGGGGCACAAAAAGGCCTTCGACCCTGCAGTGCTGAGCGCGAGTGACCGTGACCGTGTGGCTGGGTAGGAGAGCCAACTGAAGAGACCCAGACGTGCCTAGCGGAGGTGGCAGCTGGAAGTCGAGGAGGGTACGGGCACACAGCCATGTGAAGTACCTGTGGGGTCTCCCCAGGAGCACCCGCCCACGGTCGGGGGAAACGCTCAGGAGACTCGTGCGAAGTGAGAGGGCTGGACCAGAGACCCACCTGCTGCTGAGCTGCTTGGGCACGCCTGGGAGACATGCACGGGCAGAGGGAGATGTGAGGCTTTCAAGGAGGGACAGTGACACTAGTAAACACCCACTGGGCCTGGCCAAGAGGCCTGAGATAGGACACTGAGATGGGCAGTCACAGGAGGAGGTGGAGCCAAAGCCAGCCACAGGGGGCTGAGGAGTGACCGGCCTGAAGGACTGGGTCTGTGGCTTCCCAAGTGACGGCAGTGGAAAGCGAAGCACCAGGGATGGGCGGATAGGGACACAGGGGGATGGTGGCCATGCAGACACCACACTAAGAGTGCAAGCACAGTTTAGAGGAAACCATGGAGGAAAAGGGCCAACTGGGGCAGAACGCGGCCCTTCCTCACCCGAAGGGCCACCCAGGCAAGGTGAGCTCGCTCCGGCACCCGCTGTAGCGGTGCAGGCCTGTCCTGCCCTCCCTGAGAAGCTGCCACTGGGGCTGGCGGTGGGTGAGTGACAGCAGCATCATGGCCACGGGAAATCCCAACTGCCCTGGGGTCACAGACGGGTGGCCCTGGGCAGGACTGAGCACCACAGGGCAGCAGGCAGCGGGCCAGCGTAGTGAGCGGCTGTCCCCACAGCGGCTCTGGCTGGGCCTGGGCAGCTCAGAGCTAGCCTGCCCTGCATGGGAAGGAAGTGCACCGTCCTCCGGGCCCAGCCAGAGTTCAGAAGGACTTGGTGCGTCACCCTCAGGGCTCTGGAGGGAGGCTGGCTATGATCAAGGGAAAACAAGCCCACCCCCACCGAGCCTCAGTTTACCCTTCTAGGAAATGAGGCCAGAAGCCTGGGATGTGAGCAGGGGCAGGGAGGAACTAAGCCCAGGAGAGATAGGGCACCCCTTTCTCTGCCCCATGCCCCCTCCTCAGACACTGCAGAGACCATTCTGGAAACATCAGGCCTTGCTGTGGGTGTTGCTGGCCTCTGCCTACCAGACACCAACCAAACCACCCCAGCCGTGACACCCACAACTATCTCTAGACATTGCCCAGTGTCCCCTGGGGGACAAAAGCATCCCCAGGCACAACCAACCCCTAGCTCAGAACCACCAAGTTCTCACTCATCTTCTTCCTTTCAGTCCTGTCCTCTCCCGGGGAGCGGACTCAGTGGTCACACAGCCCCGGCCACCAGCCAAGGAGTCAGGATGGCATGACCTCGTCTCCCAAGGGAGCCCATGACCTCTGTCACCCACCCACTGCCTGCTCCTGGTGCTGCAGGGGGCCAGGAGCTGAACGCCAGTCTGGAGTCTGAACCACGGGACTCCAGCCACTGAATATGATGCTTACAAAGAGTTGCTTAAAAGATGCAATTTTTATTGTTAAAATAAAAACACTTCATAAAAAATAGTTCATAGCACACGATCTCAGGGTAAGAAAGGGTCTAAGTAAAAGCACTGACAAAGCCAGTCTACAAATGACAGGATTATGGTTCATTTCTCAACGTCTTACTTGAATTAGTCCCTGTGACACATAGGACTGACAACCTAGGAGAGGCTGGGGACAGGTTTTCGGGGTCACCATTCAAGTGAAGTGGTTTAGGAGGCTGAGAGTATGCACCCTACTTCTCACCCATCGTAGTGGCCACCCTGCCTAGTGACCAGGCACCCTCAGGCTACCTGGACTCAAGTCCAGTGGGAAGTGCAGGACCTGGCCTACACCTACCCTATTCCACTGGTTCCCAGTCCTTAGGCCTACAGGAGCTCTGGACAGTCCACTGTCAGTGAGCTCCTTACATGTCCTTCCTCTCTTCCAAATACGCATCTGCCCTAACGTGGCCAGGGGCAAGGACAGACAGGTGCTGCCAGGTGAAACAAGGACCTGCAACCCTGGGGATAAGGACGGTACGCTGATGACGGGGCATCTCTCAGCTGTCTGGGTCAGCTGCTCAGTCCCAGCCCTTGGGGTTCCCTGGCCACTCTGGGGTCCCGAAGATGGCTTGTGTGTGCATAGGTGCACACACTTCCCTCCCAAGATGGCTACTCTGCCTCAGGCTTCCTCCCTTTTTGTGGGGGAAGGCTGGGTTTTTTTGTTCTGGGTAGTATAGGGATCAAACCTAGGGCACTTTACTACTGAACTACAGCACCAGCCCTTTTCACATTTTTATTCTGAGATAAGGCCTTTGCTAAATTGTTCAAGTTGGCCTCAAACTTGCAATCCTCCTGCCTCAGTCTCCCAAGTAGCTGAGATTACAGGTATGGGCTCCTGGCTAAAGTTGCTTCTTAAAGGACTGCTTCCACTTATTCACGTGGATGAGCTATGCAAGGTCCTTAATACCTACTAATACGAACTATTTTATACATCAGTTTTAAAAACCATGTAGTACAGCTCATAGCCACACAGGAAAGCAGTAAGGCCTTCCTCTGTACACTGCTGCATAAACATGGGGCAATGGGGAGAAAGTGGCAACCTGTCAAGGACAGAGACGCTGTCCCTGTACTGACAGGTTTCGGATGGTGACATGCAGGATACAGCACTCTGCTCCACACTGACCTGCTGCAGGGTTTCCCTGAGTAAGTCCTGTGAGCAGCAGACTGCGGGCTGCACCTCCTCTCGAGGTTCCTGGAACCTAGCTGCGCCATCCTGGGTGTGCCCGCCTAGCACGCCAGGCAGGCTATGGAGTTTGTTCCCCCTCGCCTGGGTCACTACTGGGGAAGACAAGGGGCGGCGGGGTATAGTGAGGGAAGTTCTCCAGGTTGGTTTTCAGAAAGAGCAGATGCTCAATGGCCTCTACTTTGAGTGGGGGCTTCTGTTCTACGATGGTGGGGCTGTCCAGGGAGGCTAAGACGCTTTCTGAGAAGGCTCTTGTGGGTGGACAGGACAGGTAGATGGTGGCCAGCTGGGCCAGGGCTGGCCAGGCACCACGTTTCCTCTCCCAGTAGGACAGTGGGTCCTCCTGGGCGCCAATGATCTCGTTGTCCCGCAGGTATCTCCTGACAATGACGCTGGCCAGGTGGTTCTCAGTGGAGAGAGAGGCCCCGCTGCTCTGGGACACCAGGAGGCCCACACTCTCCAACTGCTCTAGCAGGCTCTTCTCCCGCTGCACCAGCAGGACGGGGCCAGGGTCACTCTGCCTGCGCAGAGACTCCCTCTGGCCCTTGCGCTCAGCCCTGGCCCTCCTGGTGGTGCTCGTGTGCACGCCCTTGCGCCTTGCACCAGAGGTGGGCAAGTATTCAGTCACCATGATCTCCTTCACTTTGTACACCAGGACTTGCTTCCAGTGGTCAATGTCAGCCCCCTCAGGCAGGATGGCCTCGATCTTGCCCTTGAAGCGCGGGTCCAGCAGGGTAGCCAGCACAAACTCCTCGCGGTGGAAGAGCTCATTGAGCTGGCGGTCCGTGGAGAGCTGCAGGGCCAAGCCCTCGGCCAGCCTCAAGGCTGTGCCCACATCCCCAACGCTCTGCTCCTGGAAATGTCTGTGCAGCTGCTCTAGGAAGATATGCAGGTAGCGCAACTGAGGTAGCACCTGGCTCAGGGAAGCCTGGGGCATGCTGGCCTCATGGACTACCATCTGGAAGGGCTGCAGGAGCTTGACCAGGCTGTCTACCAGGCTCCAGAACACCGTGGACAGGGCAGTGCCGGCCTTGCCCGGCTGCTGGATCTCGGCGTATGCCTGCAGGGCAGGCTGCTGCCCCACCAGCCACTCCATCAAGCGGTAGGCTGAGCCCCAGTCGTCCGAGAGCTCCTCGAAGGGCTGCTGGGCTGGGAGGCCACACTGCTGCTGGACCTGGCTGAGCAGGCTCCGGGCCTCTGCTGAACCTTGGAAATGACTGCAGATGGCCCTGGCAGTGCCCAGGATGATCTGGACGCTGTGGTGGTGACAAAGAAAGTTGCTCACCAGAGAGTCAAGGCAGTGGGTGAAACAGGGGATGTGGGTATAACCCTCAGTCCTCACTGCCCACTCCAGGCTGGGGCAGCCACCCGATACTAGGAAACCAGCCCTCAGGGAGCCACGGCCCAGCCATAGGCTGATCTGCTCCAGCAGCTCAGACTGGCCATCCTCAGCGGCCCTCTCAGAGGGCAGGCCCCGGACCCAGAGCACTGCGCATTTCCGCACGTTCGCTGGTGCCGCAGGTTTGCGGGCCACCCAGTGGGCAGCAATGGCCATGTAGCTCACAACTGAGTCCTGGGCCGACACGGAGGCGGTGAGGTGGACATGGCCCCCCTCAGCCCACTGTATCTCCTGAAGCACCTGCTCACCCATGGCCTCGTGCAGCAAGGGCAAGGCTTTGTCCGAGAAGAAGGCCGGGGAGGGCAGGTGGTAGCAAGGGTCCACCTGGGCCATGAACCTCCTGAATGGCAGGGAGGACACGAAGGAGAGCGGCAGGGCCAGGCCACAGAGCAGCTCTGCGATCCTGTGGTTCCAGGCCTGAGCCTGGGGCCAGGTGGGGTCATTTGTGTCACTGAGGCTGTCGTCCTTGACTGACCCAGGAGAAGCAAGCAGTGGGGGCAGGGCCAGGAGTAGCTGCTCAGGTCTTCCCAGGGCCAGCTCCTTGCTGCTGTCCTCCAAAGGCGCAGTGTCTGGGGGGTCTCTAGGCACCCCAAGGCCGAGGGCACCAGGCTTCTTCTGTACCTGCTCTGCTCCTGCTGGCCACTGGCCTGGGCTGCCTGGGGCTGGCCTTCTCTCCCACTCCATGCTGTGCTTACTGGTCAGGTGCCGGATGAGGCCTGAGCCTCGGGACTTCCCTTCGGCTTTGGTCCATCTGACACTGGTGCCACACAAGGTGCAGGTGACACGGCAGGTGTTCTTGAAGTCCCCAGTGAAGAACTGTGTGACATCTGGTATGGCCTGCGAGGGGCTCAGGGAACGTGAGACGGAATCCAAGCGCCGGGTCCCTACTTTTGTATCTTTAACCAGTTTGTTCAGGCAAGGAGGCTCCTGGATCCTTGGCTGGGACCCTGACTCCATCACACCATGAAGCAGATGCTTTCTCTTCCGCTTTTTGGGGTATGGCAGCTCCTTGGCCGGATGGGCTGGGGGGATGTCAGCCTGCCTCGAGGCCTCATCTTCCTGGGGCTGGCTGGCCTCCGCCCTGTTGGGACCGGTGTCCTGGTGGGGGTGCAGGAGAGACTGGGCCAGAGCTGGGGCCCAGCCAGTGCCAAGCGGCAGGGACCGTGCTCGCTTTCTCGTCTTCGTCCCTTCCGCCTTCCACCCACGCGCCTTCTGCCTGGACACTGCCCCCTTCTCAGGCTGCACAGGGGGCTCTGGCCCAGGAACAAGCTGGAGGTCACAGGTTCCAGAGGGCCTCTTCGGCTTACTCCTCGAGGGGCTGGCCCAGCACTTGGCATGCGAGGCCGAGGGCTGAAGATCAGGTTCCCCCAGAGAGTGGGGTTTTCTCCTCCCATTGCAGTCAGCAAGGCCAAGAGCACCTTCTACCGGATTCTCTCGGTGAACCTGGTCCAGGCCAGGCAGAGGGACAGGCGTGCCACCAGGCAGGGCACAGAGGCTGCTCTTCCGCCGGGACAAGTCTCTTTCCCGCGTCTTTGTTGGGCTGGAGAGTTTGGCCTTCCTCCTGTGGCCACTGCTGGCCCTGCTTCCTCTGTCAGACAGATCAAGTCTGACCGCAGCCTCTGGCAGGCCTTCCCCGGCAGGCCCAAGCTTACAAGAGGTGTTGGTGGCGCTGGTGCATGAGTCGGGGCTGGGACAGGCCGGGCTGGTGGCTGGGTTCTTGGGTCTGGTCACAGGGGTGCTGGCACTCACACAAGGCTCCTGTCCCATTGGGCCTGAGGACCTCTGTCTCTTGGAGGGGCTTTTGATTTTTTCCATTTCCAATATGCTTGGAAGCCTGGGGCAATGAGGAGATGGGCAGAGGCTGGAAGGCAAGATGAAAAGCACGGCTCTCAGCAGCCTCACTAGACTCTGGGGACACGTGAAGAGAAGCCCAGACAGGACGGGCAAGAGAGGGCCAGAGAGAAGGGGAGGTGCAACAGGACAGTGTAAATTCCACCCAGGACAAGACCCTCCTGCCACGGCCTCCTTAGAGAAGCACAACTTTCACTGTTCTGGGGCGGGGGGGGGGGGCACTCCCACAGCTGGGTCCCCATAGCCTTGCTCACTAGTGCTTTCTGTGTCCATCTTCCGGCTTTCTCCTTTTTTCTCCTGGGGTCTCGGAATGTGGGAGGCACCTGGTGACTGCTCTATGTGTCGTGGAGACAGAGGAAGTAGGCAAGGCCCCCGTGTTCTCTGACAACATGCAGGACTGGAGGCACACTGCAGACGCGGGGACCATGCAGGGCCGTGAGACCCCAGGAGGGGCCTGGCTCATCACGAAGCCCCCCAGGGGCCTCACTGTAGGAGAGGCCAGTGCTGGGTGCTGTGAGTTCTGTGAGGAGGGAGAGGGACTCCCGATCCGTGACCCCAGTCCCTGGCCTCACCTGGCCTCCAAGACTCAGAGGTGCTAAGTCAAGCAGTCTATGGTGCCCTGAGCCACAGTCTTTGCTCATATCCTCTGAACAGCCCCGGGGGACGTTAGCCTCCTGCAAAGAGCAGGGCTGGGGCAGCTGCCAGACCCCAGTGACCACAGGCCCCACACTCCCTCAGGCTCTTCCGCCAGACTCCCAGGGCGCTGCTCACAGCCCTCACCTCCCACTCCTCTAAGGCTTCTGCAAGGCCCCCGTGACTGCCTCGCCACTAACTCAGATGGGCTCTGCCGCTGCACCAAAGCCCTAGCCTGCTTCCTCCCTTTGGAATGCCTCCCAACACTGCCCCTCACCTTCAAAGACTTTTCTGGGCCCCCACCCTCTGGAGGTCCCTTAGGGCTGCTCCACGGGTGCTCCGCTCTTCCTTCAACTCTCCTCCCCCTCTCTTCTTGTAGCCAGCCCTGCACTGGTAAAAGCACCACCCAGCCGCTCACGCCCACCCTACACATTACCCTCCACTCCCTGCCCCCCACAGTCATTTCCCTAGGTCAAGTCCAAGCCTGTGAAGAGACCAGACCTGAAGAAGTTGGAACAAGCATGGTAAGCCAGGGTTACTTCCCAGGGACAGAAGACTCGGGGGAAGATGATTTAATACTTCTAGCATGAATACCTGAAATCTGGCCAGCTACATCTCTTCAGACCACAAGAGAGTGAGATTAAAGAAGATTAAGATAAAACTCCGTGGATTTGGACACTGAATGAGTGACATCCAACATTACGGATCATGGGAGACGGCAGGGCTGCCCTCAACCCTCTGTAAGGCAGCTAAGGCTGCTCTGATTCTGCCACCGAGGAGCTCCTTCCGGCAGCCAGGGTCTCAGAAGGTGGAGAGGAAGCGGCTTGCGCCCTCTCCCAGACTCAGCCAGCCCCCAGTGTATCAGAGGAGTGAAGGCCCACGAGAGACGATGCCCGTGAAAGCCAGGTACTGTGCTAGGCCCAGGAGAACTGCTCCCAATGTCACACGGGAGGGAACCTCAGCTCTTAGTTTATGGCTGAAGAGACCCCAACCCAGGCCATCCGTCCACCCCTCCAGAAGCAGCTTGCAGTGAGGATACAGGACAGGGCCTTAAAACCAGGCCATGGCAGAGGACATAGTACCCAAGAAGGCACAGAAAAGGCACCAGGCATGGTAGCACAGGTCTGTAATTTTGGCACTCTGCTAGGCTGAGGCAGGAGGATTTCAAGTTTAAGCCCAGCTCGGTCAATTTAGTGACTTAGCAAAACCCTTTCTCAAAACTTAAAAAAAAAAAAGACGTTTAGGGTTAAGGATGTAGCTTAGTGTGAAGGCCCTGGATTCCACCCCCAGTATGGGGGCGGGGGAGAGACCTAAAGGAGAAAACTTCTCTGTCAGAGCTGTAGCCAGGAAAAATACAACTTTTTTTTGTTGTTGTTTTTGCGGTACTGGGGATTGAACTCAGGACCCTGCGCTTGCCAGGCAGGCGCTTATGCCACTGAGCTATATCCCCAGCCCAAAAATACAACTTTTATCCGAGGACCTATCAGCTACTAAAGGTACCAGTCCTGTTGTTTCCCACTAGCCCTGTCCCACCAGAGTCTACAGTCTGCAAATATTCTGGGTGCACATAACTTTTCCAAAAAATTCCCTAAATACTTACTACAAGGCAGCACTGTGCCTGCAAGATACAGAATTGGAGATAAACTGCCTGGCTAGTGCCCAGGATGAGGACAGGAAAACCTGGAAACGGGCTTGGCACGGCAACGCACAGGAAAGCAGGGTGCAGCGTTAGGAGGCAGGGAGTGAACTTGGAGTTTTCCCTGTAAGGGGTTTTACCTTGGGCGACTGCTTCAGGGTCTTTAATCCTCAACAGCCCCAATGGATGGGTCCAGGATCTCAGGCAACCGGAGCAACATTAATGCCGCCTCGTTCTCTTCCACCGGAGCACATCAGGGTGGCAGTGAGCCAGATGATGGTGACAGCCAACCTTGAACAAATAATTCTAAAATGTAACGTGTATGTGTGTGTGTGTGTGTGTGTGTGTGTGTGTGTGTGTATGGTGCTGGGGGATTGAAGCTAGGGCTTCAGCATGCTAGGCAAGCGATCTACCACAGAGCTAACCTCCAGACTCTAAGGAAAAGCATCCCAAAACTGCAGTAAGAAGGGACCCATGACATATCACAGGGTGACAACACATGGGAGGATTGCAGCCACAAGGCAAGGCAGGGTTTCTAGCCCAGGGAATGCTGCAGCCTGAGCAGGTCACAAGTGAGGAGAGCCATCACCAGGAAGCAAGAAGTAGGGAACGGGGCAGGGGTCGGGGTCATCTGGAGATCAGCTCAGGCGTAGCTCATGCTGAGGGACGGACAGCCACACAGGGCAGTGCTGAGACTGCGTGGGAGGTCTTCTGGGTACAAACCATCAGGCACCTTTGCGCAGAAATGGGGTGGCTGCCCAGATAATGCTGATGACACAGGGAGGGCAGAGGAGGGGCCACCATTCAGAGATGCCTGAGTGGCAAAGGCTGGACGCACAGAAATCGAAGTGATGGGAGCAAAACAAGGGAAGAGACTTTCCAGAAAGGAGCAGTTGTGCTTGCTTCAGCAGCACATGTGCAGAAAGGAGGGCTGATCAGGCAATGAAGTGTAACAAGCAGGTATCCCGGGGGCCCTGGTCCAGGACCCCCAAGACGCCAGAATCCACGGATGCTCAAATCCCTCATATACAATGGCAGTGTTTGTGCACACATACGCACATCCACTGTGTACTTTAAATCATCTCTAGATTTCCTGTGACACAAACCGAGTGCAACACAAATGCTATGGAAATAGTTGTTATCCCCTACCATTTGGGGAATGAAGACAAGGAAAATAGCCGGGCATGGTGGCACACACCTGTAATCTCAGCAGCTGGGAGGCTGAGGCAGAAGGATCGCTGAGGTCAAGACCAGCCAGGGCTACAAAGCTCAAGGCCAGCCTGAACTGCACAGGGAGACCCTGTCTCAAAAAGACCCCCCCCCCAAAAAAAAAGACAAGGAAAAAGTCTGGATATGCTCAGAGAAGATGCCAGTTTTTCTTTTCCTGAGAATTCTGGTGCCTGTGGGTTGCAGTACCTGCAGGTGCAGGTCTGGCCGCTGTGAAAGGCCGCCTGCACTTGGGACTTTGGGATGGAGAAGCGGGGGAGGCTTGGGTGTCTCCAACAGAACAGGCTGGAGGGGAAGAGGTGAGACCAAGTACATAGGAAAAATTTGAAATCCACACCAAGAGGTTGCTGAGTGGGACTGGCCTCGGTTTGGAAGAAATCACTGTTTCTGACACAGAAGGATGAGTATGGTGGCAGGGATGTATGGTCCTTGTTCTGGGTTCGGTGGGGACACGGCCCATTCCCCAGAGCTTCCCCAGGGTCGCACGCGTGGGGAGAAAACGCAACAGTAAAGGGAGCAGCCTTGGGCAGAGCCACCGCAATTCTAGGGAGAAGGAGGAGCCTCAGTATTTACCTGAGGTTGGTGCAAGGAATTACAGAATCGTCTCCTCTTTCTCTCCAATCCTTTCCAATGGCAAGCCCTGAGGGGAGGCGCCGCTATTTCTCTCTCTCTTTTGTACTGGGATGAACCCAGAGCCCTGGCACCGAGGTTTTAAAATTTTGAGACAAGGTCTCACTAACTTGCCCATGCTGGGCTCAAACTTCCGATCCTCCTGCCTCAGACTCCTCACAGGCCCGAGGACACTCCCCTCTTCTCTCAACCTGAGCACGAGGAGGAGCACGAGGAGGAGGAGGAGGAGGAGGAGGAGGAGCAGCAGGAGGAGTGGCTGTTCCTCCCCCTACTCCCCAGGGAGCCCTCCCCTGCCTCCCTCCACCAAGAATGAACCCAGGGCCTTCTGAGATGCAGCTCCAGCCTTTTTACTTCTTCATTTTGAGACAGGGTCTAGGGAAGTCACTCAATTGCCCAAGCTGGGCTCCATCTGCTGATCCTCCTGCCTGAGCCTCTCAGAGAACAGGGATGATAGGAATGGGCCACCACAATCCGCTCTCCCAGGGGATTTTAAAACGCTTGCTTGGTTCTCAAATCTTGGGTTTGTCCTCGCCCCCAACAACTGTATTACTAGAATCACTTCTTTCTTTCTTTTTTTTTTTTTTTTGAGACAAGGTCTCGCTATGCAGTTCAGGCTGGCCTTTGAGCTCACTTTGTAGCCCAGGCTGGTCTTGAACTCGCAACGATCCTCCTGCCTCAGCCTCCCGAGTGCTGGAATTACAGGCATACACCACCACCCAACAATTGTAAAGAGGTGGAAAGGTGATGAAAAAAGGGACAGAATGGAGGAACGTGAAGAATAAAAGAACAGATCCAATGCAAATTTCGCTATTTACAAAACAGAAGGGGAGCGGAACCCGGTGGCGCACACCTGTGATCTCAGCACTCTAGAAGGCTGAGGCTGGACGCCTGCAAGCCAGAGCCTAGCCTGGGAAATTCAGCAATTTAGGAGACCCGGTCTCCAAAAGGAGCGGGGTGGGGGTGTAGCCCAGTGCTGAGACCCGGGGTTCAGTCCCCGCCCACCCCGCCCCAAAAGGAGGTGTGTGAAATAGTAAGTCAGCATCGTCGGGTCCCACGTTATGCAAGTGTCATAACGGAGGACCCCGCTAGCAGACTGCGCCGCGCTTTCCGTGAGGTCGGGGCTGGTCTCGGACTCGAAGCGCGCGTGGGTCCAGCGCGGGTCTCCGTGGGCTGCAATCCGGGCTGTGTTACCCACCGCGGGGCGCGCGCTGTGTGCGCGGGGACAAAGGGCCACCTCACAGGCCTGTCGCGCCTGCGGGCTCCTTCTGCAGCAGACCCGGGGCGGTTCCCGGCGCCGAGGAAGCGAAGGCCCAGCGCTGGCGGTCCCGGGGGTTCCCGCCTGCCCCGACGGGCATGGGGAGGGCAGGCCGGCGACGGGGGCGCCGCCGCGGGGCCCTCCGAGGGCGGCGTGGGTCCAGCAGCCCATGCCTGCAAAGTGGGGGCCGCCACACGCCCCCCCAAGGCTCACCTGAGGCCAGGTGCGGACGAGGATCCCGCGCCGCGTGCCCGCGCACCGGCCTCAGTCCCGCAGGAGCCAACGGGCGGGCAGGGGCGGGGCCACTCCCGGAAGTGGTGGTGTGCGCGCTGGGGGCGTGTCTCCGCACAGCCCGGCCGGCGGATATGAAGCCGGCGGCGGACGCAGTGCGCAGGCGCGGGAGGCCGCTTCCGGAAGTGAAGTCGTTGCCGGGAGACGGTGGCCCTCCTCGGCAGAAGTCGGTTTTTCTTGTGTTTGTTTTGCAATGCTAGAGGTTGAACCCAGCCCCTTCACAGGGAGATACATCCCATCCCTTGTAGTTTTTATTTTGAGACAGGGTCAGGCAGGGTCGCTAAGTTGCCCAGGCTGGACTCAACTTGCTACTCTCCTGCTTTAGCTTTCGGGAGTGTTGGGATGATTGGCTACGAGGCAGTTTTTCTTTTTTTTTTTTTTTTTGGCTTTTTTCTGGTACCGGGAATCGAACTCACGACTTTGCGCTTGCCAGGCAGGCGCTGTGCCGCTGAGCTAAATTCCCAGCCCCCGAGGCAGTTTTTCTTACGGATCTTCCTGCCCTGTCTTGGCTGTTTGCATCCTTACGAGCTCCGCCTCCTGTCCCTAGCAAAAGAGCTCCAGGCCCGGCCAGTCCTCCAATGAGAGCCGCTGCAACCGGCGTATGCATACACTTTACTAATTATTTACCGTTTTAAATCTCCCTTGATCCTCCCCAGCCTTACTGAGGGGCCTCCTGGTGCTGGGACTGGTGCCCACTCTGATTCCCAGCACTCCTGAAAGCTTGGGTGTTCCTTCCGCCTGAGAAGACCAAATGAAAGGTGGAGGGCACCGCTCAGGAGCCCAGCGTCTCCCAGTGCTTCCCAGCTTCCTTCGTAGGGCTCTGGGTGATGAGTTTGGAAATCGCTGACGATCCAGGTCCGTTGACAAAGGCATGTGTATGACTACCGCGGGGACCGGTTCAGGATGGCCGGAGACACTTAGGGCTGTGACGGCCACGAGCAGGGGTAGCAGCTCTTCTGACATCTGGCGGGTAGAGGCCAGGGGTGCTGCTAAACATCCCATGTGCACAGGACAGCCCCTTCTGGCCTCTCTAGACCCAAAGATGATCCAGCCTGCTCTGTCACCTTGTCCCCAGGGCCTCAGCACCAGAGGCCCTGCCAGTCGGTTTAAAATGCACAGGCCAAGCCCACCTGTGAGACTAACCCTGTAGGGAATGGCATGGGACCCCGGGTCTTGGAGCCTTCCAGGCCATTCTGTACAGGTACCCGTGCTGCGCACTGACCAACACCACTATAGCCCGAATGTGGAGTGTAACTCCCAAGCGGGCACCAGCACCTGTGCTGCCCGGCTACTGAGGACTCACCCAATACTGCTCCCAAGGGGAATCTTGCTCTAGACCCCAAGGTTCTGGCCTAATAGACCCAGCTTTGGGCCCAGGGCACCATGGGTTACTTTGTTTTTTTAAAAAAAATTTTTTTTAGTTTTTAAATTGACAAAATTGTACATATTTATCACGTACAGCCTGATGTCTCGAAATATTGCAAGCTGGGCGTGTTGCCACATGCCTGCAATCCCAGCCAACAGCCTCAACTATATAGTGAGATCCTATCTCTAAAAAACAAAAAACATAAAACAAAAAACACCAGCATAATGAAATGGGTGAATGGAGCTATTTAACATATCATTACCTCACCTTTTTCTGTGGTGAGAACCAGTCAAATCTGCTCACTAATGTTAGTATTCAACGCGTTGTAACTCCGTCACCATGACATGTCTTCCTGGAGTGTTGTATCCTCTGACCAACATCCGTCTCCCCAGTGAGTGAGTCTTACTTAGATTTGTTAACCAGAGCTCACTCAGGACTTTGGCCGGTGGCCTGCGCTGTTCTGTGTTGCAAGTTGAGCAAAGCTGGTGGCTGCTAACGGATTTTGTTCCTGGGAACCACAAGGTCTAGTAAACGATGGTGGCTTTCGGCACCCAGGGAGATTACTGGGGGAGGGGCCGCTGCCTCGGGATTTTCACAGTTCCACAATCATTAATAATCCTGTTTCCGTGCAAAGCAACCAGAAGCACCCAAGGGCCTCGCTCTGGGGCTTCCTGGGGAGAGGAACAGTGCCTGCCTCTCCCCAGTGGGAACCTGGGAGGAACCAGCCTGGTCCCATCACCAATCAAAGTGTGCCAGATCTCTCGGGATGACGAGGCAGGAAATATTCATGGGCAGTGGTTGGGGAGGCCTGGAACCAGAGCATGTAAGGTTGCAGGGTACTTCCGTATTTGCCTTCTGCCTTCCCAAGCAGTGCCTGGCACCTAGCCATTGCTCAGCCCGCGGTAGCTACTGGTGTTCCTATGAAACACCCCCGGAGGACACTTCATCCAGGCAGTGGCACTGTCGGTATTGCTGCTCTCAGACTGGGATCTCTACTGTCTGCCCAATACCCAGCCCCCAGCGCAACACAACTTGAACGCTCTGGAAGTTTGAGCCCTTTGTGCTGGTGCTGCCCTCTGCTGGCCAGGAACTTTGTGTGCAGCTTAGTTTAACCTGGCTACCGGCTCAAGCGGGCTTCCTCCAGGACCCAGCGGTTTCCAAGGCCCCTTCCCACTCTGCCACTTGGTATGGTGCAAGCGTACCTACTCTTGGCCACGGCCCATTTGTGGATACCTGGGATCTTTCTCTAGCACCTGGAAGGTTTCCTTTGAAATGTCCTCGCCTGGAGCCTGGGGCCTTTTCTTTTAGTCTCCGGAGGACAGAATCCCAGCTGCAGAGCAGATAGAGCTGCTCCGTGTCTCTTTAATGCTTGTCAACCCTTCGTCATTTTGTGCTTCCTGATTTGCCCTGAACCCTCCCTCCCTCACCGCCCTGCTGTCACCCTGACCCTCCTTGTCGGACATCCTCTCACCCTCTGCGAATCCGAGGGCGCTCCCTCTTTTCCCCACCATCAGCAGTTACTGAGTAACATTGTTTTTGTAGCTTTAACTGCATCCAGATTGTTTTAATCCTTGACACAACCTGCTGGAACCTCACAGTCGAACCTGGGAAAGCCCAGGATGGAAGCCAGTTCTCCCCAAGGGGGGTGGGAGGCCAGGCCAGGCCAGAGTGCAGTGGACAGTAGCTCTCAGCCCTCCCGGTCTTCCTGGACTGGCTGTGCTGATGTCTACGACACATATGGGACCTTGAGTATAGCAGCACCTCGGTACCGTCATTAACTTGGTCCTGGAGGTGAGTCCCAAACAAACTGCTTTGGCTGAAAGGCAGCTGACACCAGCAAGTTCTATCTTGTGCATGGAGTACCAAGCAAAGAACAAGATGGGATGAGATTTACCCATCAGAATGCTTCCACTGCCCTCCCAGCAAAAAGCTTCCAGTATCAAACTGGAATTTTTTTTTTTTGTTTTTCTCCGGTACCGGGAATCGAACTCATGACCTTGTACTTGCCAGGCAGGCACTGTGCCGCTGAGCTAAATCCCCAGCCCCTCCAAACTGGAATTTGAAAGCAGCGAGTAGCAAGGTCTGACTATGCCGCACTGTGTGGAATAACAAGGCATTCTGCACTGGTTTGTTTCCAGATCCACTTGCTTGGTCTGAATGGCGCAATCTGGACCCCACAGAAAGCAAGCACTGCGGGTCCTCGCCTCTCCCCGCAGCTCCCCACCCATGTCTCCAGGACCTGGGAAAATGTCCACTTCCTCCTCTGTCTCCTCATCAGTGAAGGGGCGCCTCCACCTTAAAGGTTCTAAATGAAAGCAGTGGCTGCACAGGAGGAAAAGCTGGGAAACCACGGGGCCAGCCGCGAGCAGTCCCAGAGTGCCCAGGGAGCAGGAAGCTGCTCTGCAGGACTCCACCTCCAGGAACGAGGCTGCTCCTGCGCTTCCCTGAGAATCCGGCATCACACACATCCCGGAAGTGTCAAGACAGCCCAACCACACAGCACCACCAAGCTAGGAATCCAGAGACCAGGAACTGTGTGGAGGGAAGCAGCCCTCTGTGATGAACTCTCCCTCTTCCCAACCCCAGGCTCAGAAGGATCCTAAACATCCCAGACCCGAGGCCCCAGTTTTGGGCACACAGCACTTCTAAGCCTTCTGTGAGCTGGGCATGGTGGCACACGCCTGTGATCCCAGCACTCTGTGTTTATTTGGGTTTTTTGTTTGTTTGTTTTTTTGTTTTTCTCCGGTACCGGGAACCGAACTCACGACCTTGCACTTGCCAGGCAGGCACTTTGCTGCTGAGCTAAATCTCCAGCCCCAATCCCAGCACTTTGGGCAGCAAAGGCAGGAGGATTGCAACCTCAAGCCCAGCTTGGGCAACTTAACGAGACCCTGTCTCCAAATTTTAAAAAAGGGCAAGGGATGGAGCTCAGTACAAAGGCCCTGGATTCAATCTCCAGTACCACAAAAACCAAAACCAAATGCTTTGTGGCTCTCCACTGCCCGCTGGATCAACCTAACACCCTCAACCAGGTCCGGGTCCTCGGCCGTTGGTTCTGCATCACTTCTCCCCAGTTCCTCATGTCACTCCATGCGGGAAGCCAGGCAGGCAGTCCCCAGCCCTTGGAGGTCTAGAATGAGGCCACTCTGCAGACACAGGGCACCCGCTTTATTGCATAGCCTGGGAGCTGCCCCTCCATTGTCTGGGGCACAGAGTGGTCATCAAGGTTCCACTTCACCACCCAGTCTTTGTCCATTTCCTGGGCCTGGCACTGGGCCAAACTCAGGACAGACAGAAAGGCCCAGGTCTCAGGAAACTGTGGTCCTCTGTCCGTCTCCCAGAAGTGTAGCTCCAAGGGCAGCGACTGCAATTCCCCTTCTTGTCCCCGATCCACCTGCCGAAGAGCTGGAAATCAGGTGGCACCTGGCAGATTCCGCAGAGGCCTGGGTGTGCCCACAAACTGCATCTTGTATCATGTTATTTATTAGACATGGATCGGTTTTGGGGTACCAGGCATGCTTGCCACCTGCACCTCACAGGAAGGCTGTGGAGACGAGGGGAGGGAGGGATTTGGGGAGCTGTGTCCATGCACGACCCCAAGCTGAGGGGCTGGCAGCCAGAGCTAAGAAAACTGGATAAGACGCATCAGATTCTACTGCTGCTTCCAAAACGATGGCCACCACAAGCAAAGGGACACTGAATAAATAACAATGAGCGAGGCAAGGAACCAGGCAAGGTGGGTGAACTCTGTCCTAACAGCTCTGGGCATTTGGGCTGGGTCTCCTGCAGGAGCGAGGGCACAGGCTGCAGGGTTCCCAGGGTCCCCCTGGTCTGACCCCGTATGACCTGCGCTTCTGTCTCTCACTGTCCCCCACGCAGTGCCAGGTGCGCTGGGGGGCACAGGCCCAGCCTTGGGAGCCGGGGCCGCAGTACCACTCGATCAGCATCACCTGCTTCTCATCCTCCAGCTCTGGTCACTTAGATGCTGCTGTGGAGGTTTCGGGGTGTGTCGCCACAGCACCATGAGGAATACGGGTTTCCAAATGGAGAGGTGGGGAACAACCATGCTCAGCTTGACAGGCCCCAGGGATGGGACGGAGCTCCTCCAGGGACAGAAGGAAGGCAGGACAGAACACTGAAGAGACACAACCATCAAGGGTCCTCACAGCTACAAAGGTCACTCAACATCTAGCTTTCAGTCTTAGCCCAAAGCACTATGCTGATTTTTGGTGTGTAACTGTTGCTCTAAGATAATTTTTCAGAAATTTCACATCTAACCTGACAGCACGGGGCCCCTCACAGCTGGCGGGGACAGACCCCACCTCGGGCTCATGGCTAAGGACACTGTCTTCAGCTGTGCCACAAATGTGAGATGCAGCCCACCTGGACCAGCTGCTCCCAGGACCTGCTTGGGCGGGAAGGAAAGGAAACCCCGGGGCTATCCTGGCTCCAGCCTGCCTCTGGGCTCAGGGCTTCCAGACCCCTGCCTGGCCGGGAGGACAGGGTGTCCTAGAACCCACTGGGCCCTGGGCGTGTGGACCCTGAGGTGCTAACACAGGGGAGCACAGAGGGACCAGGACAGCCGTGGGGAAGGTGGGATGAAAATCACCAGGGACGTCGAGCCAGGGTCATCCAGGACACTGGGACACCTGAAAGGCACATGACATCAAGGTCACTGTCTTGTTGTGGGGACCCCTGATCCCCTCCCTGGAAACCCACCCTAGCCCTGCCGCGGTCACTCAGCAAACCCTCAACGTCCCTCTGTTTGGTCTGGTGTCACCCAGCACAGATTCAGTTTCCCTGCCACCCTGTAGCTTGGCAATCCCACAGTGACATCTGTGTGACATCTTCGGGAAGAGGCCTTGTGAGGGACCCTGGCGGCTGGCACAGTGCAGGCAGACAGCCACAGGTCAGCCTTTTTTGCTTTGCTAAATATCAAGGCTGAATCCGACATGTCCCATGGCTCTGCCTTCCCTTGCTGCCCACCACCTGCCGTCCCCATCTGTGGTACCTGGGGCCAAACGCAGCGCCGGTCACTCCCACAGGAAGCGCACGTACCAGATGGTCTCGTTCTTCAGCTGGGGCCCGAACAGGGGGTTCAGCTGGGCCAGGATGGCAATGAGCCAGCTGCCGGAGACAGCAGTGTGAGGAGGCTGGGCACAGAAGGAACCCACACCCATGCCCAGGGAGGTCTTGGTCTTTTCTGCCTGCCAAGGAGTATCAGCCAACCTGCGTTGCCGTGGCAGGGCCTATGTCCTTGGGAATCAAGAAGGGACCCACAGAACCACCCACACCCCAGCAGGCATGGGGCGGTGGCCCATGGTTTGTGGGTTTTGGTTTGATTTGTAAGGTTCCTGAGTTGGGGCTAGGGCTGAGATTAGGGGCGACTTGAGGCAGCCTCCAAGGCCAGGAGGCCACTCCCACCAGAGCCTGCGTATTCTCCGGTCCAGGGATCCCTGCTCTCTGTGCAACCCCGACTCACACATGCTGTACCCCTAAGACACACCCTAGCCCCAGACCTCCCCCATTTTTCTTTCTTTCTTCCTTTTTCTTCCTTTCTTCCTTCCTTTTCTTCCTTCCTTCCTTTCCTTCTTTCTTTTTCTTTCTTTCTTTCTTTCTTTCTTTCTTTCTTTCTTTCTTTCTTTCTTTCTTTCTCTCTTTCTCTCTTTCTCTCTCTCTTCCTTTTTCTTTCTCTCTTCCTTTTTCTTTCTTTCTTTCCTTTCTTCCTTCCTTCCTTCCTTCTCTCCTTCCCTGCCTCCCTCCCTCCCTCCTTCCTTCCTCCCTTTCCTTCCTTTCTTCCTTCTTTCCTTCCTTTCTTTCTTCCTTTCTCTTTTTTTTTTTTTTTTTTCAATACTAAAGATTGAACCTCAGGTCCTTTGCACTAAGCTACATCCCTTAGCCCTTTAAAATTTTTTTACATGGGTTGGGGATGTAGCTCAGCAGCATAAGTGCCTGCCTGGCAAGCCTGAGGTCATGAATTCGATTCCTGGTACCAAAAAAAAAAAATTTTTTTTTTTCAGTTTTGAGACAGAGTCTTACTAGATTGCTAAACTGCCCAGGTTGGACTCAAACTTGTGATCCTCCTGCCTCAGCAACCCCAGAAGGCTGGGATTACAAGCATGTGCCACCAACTCTGTTACCTTTTTTAAAGAATCAGCATCTCATCACTTCATCTGTCCTGTCTGGGTTGTTCTGAATTAAGAGCACCCAAGGGCTGGGGATTTAGCTCAGCGGCAAAGCGCCTGCCTGGCAAGAGCAAGGTCGTGAGTTCGGTTCCTGGTACCGGAGAAAAACCAAAAAAAAAAAAAAAAACAAACAAGAGCACCCAAATATGCCCATAAAAACAATGTATCAGACCCAGGAAGAGGAAACCCTACAGGTTTAACGTGGTTTGAGTTGCAGTGAGAGAGGGTGTCTGCAAAACTGGAACTTTGCCAGGCATGGTGGTGCATGCCTGTAATCTCAGCACTCAGGAGGCTGAGGCAGGAGGCTCGCCATGAATTTGAGGTCAGCCTAGGCTACATAGTGAGTTCAGGGCCAGCCTAACTTACATAGCAAGACCCTGTCTCAAAAACACAGAAAACAAAACAAAACAAAAAAGCCCCTGGAACTTGAACTTATCCCTTGGCCTGGCACCCAGGGCGATTTAAACCAGGAGCAATGTAACTGCAGGACTGGGCTGGATGGAGGAGGGGTTTTCCTGTTTTTGGAAGAACAGAGTCCTAGAAACAGCATGGACATTAAGAACGGAAACTGAGTCCCCATAAGTTGTGCCTTAGAATGTTTTTATGTGTCCCCAAGGTACCCTTCCCAAGCATGACAACTGTTTCTCTCCCCAGTGGTTCTAAACTGGCTGCATTCAGTGCCTGGGGATGCTCATCAAAACACATTCCTGCCAGGCATAGTGGCCCACGCCTGTATTTTTTTCTTTTTCTTTTTTTTTTTTTGGTGTCAGGAATCGAACTCAGGACCTTGCACTTGCCAGGCAGGCGCTTGTGCCACTGAGCTAATCCCCAGCCCCCCACACCTGTGTTCCCTGCACTCTGGGAGCTCAAGGCAAGAGGATAACGACTTCAAGCCCAGCCTGGGCAATTTAGTGAGACCCTATCTCAAAATTTAAAAAAAAAAATTAAAAAGAGGGCTGGAATGTAGTTCAGTGTAAAGGCTCTGGGTTCAGTACTCAGTACTGCAGGGAAAACAAAACAAATAAACAAAAAACAGATTCCTGAGTGTAAGCCTGACAGCTGGGTGCCAGTGGGTCTAGGGTGAAGCCTGAAAGTAGAGCTGAGCAACCTGTCCAGGCCCTTCTGATGCCCAGTCAGGCTCACCGGGCAACTCATTCAGCTCGCAGGTGGGATACACAGCCCTCGATTGTTATAAGGAGGACACACGGGCAGCAGAGGCAGAGGGAAGGGCGGGCGGAGGACAAAGCTGGCAAGGCCGGTACTCACAAGAGGTAACAGCACACAGCAGTGGCCACCAGCATGGTGATGATCACTCTGCAACACAAGAGGATGCAGGTCAGAAGGCCTGGCCAGGGCCAGAGAAACAGCTCTTGGCATCAGCTGTCCCACAAGCCCTCCTGATGCCCCTTGGACACAGGAGGCTGAGTTCTACCCATGCTGAGAACTACCACCTGGAGAACAGAAGCTCTCTGTCACCTTTTGGGGACGCACGCCTGCACACAGAAGTGACAGAGCCAATCCTGCCTTTATCTCCCTTCTGCACCACCCGACGTCTCTCCATTTTACTGCAGATCTGGGGGAAAGGTACCACCCCAACATGGCACGACACTGTGGAGAGGCCTCAGGGATTCAAAGTTCACTGGGCAACAAGAAAACGACAGGGCAAGAAGCAAGAAGGCTGAGCCATTTCTGAGGCTTGGTTGTTGCAAGACAATATCGTCCACTCGGAGACGATGGAAGGCAGAAGCTTAAAATACGGCAGGAGCACCATAAAGAACTCCCGGGGGTTGCAGGAGTGACACTAAAATGCTTTACAAAGCGGTGCTGTGGGACCCATCAGCCCCGCAGATTTTTAAGAACAAAGGCGACAGGCGTCTCCAAGCAGCCCCTAGCAAAGCTTACATGAATCCACAGCTGCGCCTGCACCCTCTGACCTAAAGCACTTCAAGTTCCTGCTGAAGACTCGCTCCTTCTTTCAATACTACTCAGGGCTTGGGCCAGTGCTGGCTGGGCACTGCGGAGACAGACTTAGGGACAAAGGGAGCGTTTTTTATAACCGACAACACGATGAAGCAGCTACTAGTGCGTCTGCACAAATCTGCCAGGGAACCTTCAAAAATAATACCCGCTGAAAATGATCCGTGCACAAAATGCGCGGCGCACTGACGAGTGTTTTAAGCGCATTGCTTGAGTAATACCCACCGCAGCCTTACGAGGCAGGCGTTGGCATCAAGCCCATTTACTACGGAGAAACTGAGGCACAAGGTCACACAGCGGGCGAGGGGGAGACACTGCACCAGCGCCCACCCTGCCCCTTCCCGGCTGCAGGAGGCGACGCCAAGCCATGTCCATCTCCACGTCCCCTGCTGCGTGTCTCGGTGTTTGTCCTTTTGCCCGGGCCTCCTACCGTTCGCCCGCTAAACGCCGCCCAGGAGCGGAGACCTCGGGGGAGGCGACCCGACGCGTCCCCGGAGTGGTGCTGGCTGCAGGGTAGATGCCACCCCCCGCGGTGGAGGGGTGGCCGGGGCAGGGGACAGGGGAGGAGGGGTCCGCGGGGAGCCAGGGCCTGTGCGCCTTCCTTACCCGCGGTTAGGTCCCTTCGGCACGAACCAGGGCCCGGCGATGCCGATGAGGCCCCAGAACGTGGTGAAGATGATGACCGGGAGGGCAAAGGAGTGCGCCGTCATGGCCGAGGCCCGGGATGCCCAGCGGGAGGCAGGCGAGAGAGGCAGGTGCACGGGGCGCAGGTTTCCGGCGCTCAGGAGGCGGAGAGCATGCGCAGTGGGAACGGGACGCCGGGCTGCTCTGCTGGGCGGATCTCCGGCCTGGCCCACTGTCACTCAGGGGTAGGGGCGGGCCTTCCAGGGAGTACACTCGTTGATTGGCTGAGTATGGTTGCGCCCCTCTCGAGAGGATGGATGCGCGGCAGCGGGCGCAGGGGTCACATCTGAGCTGGCGTTGAGTCTGTTGCGCTCCTTCCTTAATCCCAAAGACCTGGGAGTTTAGGGCCACCCAGAGTCATCCCCTACCGAGTCACACGCTGCGCCAGGCAGCCCGAGAGCGCCCTCTGCCTGGGCCCACGTTCTCCCCACCGGGCGGCTGGGGTCCGGGATCCGAGATTGAGGAGGGCGGCCTGGGTGACGGGAGCTGGGGACATTCGGGAAACTGCAGGGGCTTCTCCTGGACTGAGCGCTCAGTGAGAGGCGGGTGAGGCTGGGCCAGGTGGGTCGAAATTCAGAGCCCGATGTCTGGCAGGCGCTGGGCCAAATACGGCGTTCTCTGCAGGCATCAGCCCGTGATGGACCGAGCAAGGCCTTTGGGATTAGATCCTTGAGCGAAACAGCTACAATCCTTTCTGCACAGATCAGTGGCTCCAGGAGGCACCTATAGCAACAGATGCTGTGCACAACAGCCTTCCACGCTTACTCCCTGGATTCAGTGGTTCCGTGGCTTGGAAAACGGAGTGAAGCTACCCCCCGCCCCCATGCATAAGGGAAACGTGCCTGTCCTTTACCGAGCCCTGCCAGCTGTTTTCCAAAAGGAGCAAGTCACCACCTTGCCCATGTGCTAGTTGAGACCACTGTATCCATTCTTTTAACATGCAAGTTGTGTGTGTGTGGGGGCGCGGTTTTACAAAGATACCAGGCTTGAGCCTTTATTATATAGAGACAAGATAGAGATAGGAAAAGAGGTACAGAGATCTGAGGTCTAAAATGCCATCCTAGCTTTCTTGGGGTGTCTAATTCAGTTGAAGAGTGATACGTTGTAGTAAAACCATAATGCTGGTCAGACCAGACTAGGGTAAGAGTCGCTATGAGCAATTTAGTCACTGTCCATTTTGAGACTTCAGAGGATGGAGAAGTCAGGGAAGACTCCCTAGAGGAAGTGAGATTTTAACTGGATTGTAAAGAATGGTTAGGCTTCCCTTCCAGAGTGTGTGCTGTTGGGACACTGGCGCAGGTAGAGGGGGCACTTGGCGTGCAGGAGATGGCATAAAACAGGCTGGTCCTACAGTCCTGCGCAAGGTCACCATTACAGTTCATGGCTGTAGGTCAAACAGAAAAACGATTCTCTCTGTAAACAAAAAAAAGTATACTTCCTGTTTGTCCCTTGCTCAGTTTAATCAGATGCTTGGCTTAGGTGCCAGGGGGCTCTACACTGTTCCCTGCAGGGTCTGATGTTGCATTTCTGTCCTGGTTTGCATTTGTTCTGCGTCATCTGTTTGGCCCCTCTTTTGTGGTCTGTGGTCCACAAGGGGCTCAAAGCCATACAGTGGCTCCATTCCAACCCCAGGAGCCTCATCTGTACCCCAGCTCCGGCTGTTCCCCAGAATGTGACAATGATGTGGTGCCCCTGAGCTGCTGCTCTGATGCCAGGTGTAAATGTCCACCTGATTAAGTAGATCCCCAAAATATAGATCCTCCTCATCACATGTTCATTCCCTAGAGCTTTGTTTTTAGCTGAAAGAGATCTCTGAGGCTGAAGTAATCCATTCCTTTTGTGGGTGATAAAAGGAAGTAACTCATCTAAGGCTGCATAGTTTAGCAGTAAAAGAACCAGAACCCAGGGACAAGGCTTCTGCCACACATACATACATACACTCCCAGGAGCTTGCATCCAGCTGGAGGACACTGCTTTCCTAGGCACAACCGTGAGGCCCAGGCCATGTTGTCAGGCCCCCAGCTCCTTCAGCCCTTGATGTGTCACTATGTGTGCTCTCAACATGCGGGCTCCTAGGGATGCTTTGGGCACACTGGCAAAATTCAACCACATCGTCCAGGAAGTGGAGTCCTCCCATTGGTAATACCTAAGTTCATCTTTCCATAGACTTGGGCACTGGTGGATTCCTAGGAAGCGCAGAAGCAAAAGGAGCCACTGAGAAGGGCTGTAAAACATCCTTGTGTCTCCTCAGCATGAAAAGCAGAGCACCAAGACACTGGGAAGCTACAGGTCACCCTCAGAGCCCTAGGAATGACCTAGACTCCTCTGCAGGCGCAAGGGACTCTGGGTGTCTGTCTTTTGCATGCATGCAGGTTTGGATGAATGAAGCCGAGGCTCCCCACGGTGCACACTGCTGCCAAAGCAAAGATGGTCTGCACATCTGGAGAAGAGGTTCGGGAGAAAGATCCCCAGAACCCCAACAGCCAGGTAGGTCTCAGTGCAACATCTCCTGGACTTCTGCCCCGGGCTCACCGCACTCAGAGAGCCTTGGTGACCCGTCTGACTCTAATTGGTCCATGAGTCAGCATCCTTCAAGCCTCCTGTCTGCATGTCCCCCTCTCTGATGGGAGTATAACGCTCAGGAACTCTTGAGATCTGTCTAGGCTATGTTGGCTCATGTTTCCTTTTTTTTTTTTTTTTGAGACAGGGTCTCGCTATGCAGTCTAGGCTGCCCTTGAACTCAGTTATGTAGCCTAGGCTGGTCTCGAACTTGCAATGATCCTCCTGCCTCAGCCTCCCGAGTGCTGGGATTATAGGCATGTGCTACCATACCTGACCATGTTTTTGTTAGGGGTACACATCTAGCATGGACGCATCTTATACCCCAACACGCTCCATCTCACAGGCCCCTAAATGCCCAGGCTGTTTTCTGCAAACCTTCACTGTTTCCTCCTTGATTATCTCCAGGAAGAAGGAAGATGAAAGACGGAAGATGACGGTGGTGGTGGTGGCTGTGGTTTGCAGTGCTGGGTATGGAACCCAGGGCCTTCACACTGAGCTACAGCTACAGCTCCAGCTGTTTTAAAATGTTTTTTATTTTGAGACAAGGCCTTACTAGTCACTAAGTGGCCTGTGCTGGGCTTGAACTTGTGACCCTCCAGCCTTGGCCTCCCAGAGTGCTCAGACCGCAGGCCTGCACCACCACACCCAGCTAAAGGGTGGATGAGATAAAGCAGAAAGGCTCCATGGAATCTCATGGCAGGTTGGCCTACTTACCCTGGCTTGCAAAGCCTGCAGTCAAGAGCAAAGGGCCAGGTACTGCTGCCCATCCACCTTCACACAGGACTCTGTGACACTTCCCGACTTCCGGGGAAGGCTCCCCACGCCTTCTCTCTGGCAGTGGCTGCAGCAGGGAGTTACTAGCATGGCAGTGACAGCCCAGACTCCCTGGCTGAGGAGCCGCAATGACAGCCGGCAGAGTGACAGCCAGACACCTTTACCTGGACTCCAGGATGACGGTGTCCTCAGACCCTCCAGGTCACTTGTCTGAGTTGGGATCTGAGCCACCCATGGGTCCAGCTATGCCATCCACAGGATGCTGCCCTCATTCTGGTGATCTCATGGGACCGCGGGATGAGAGTGTGACACTGAATGAAAACAGTATGTCCTTGTCACTTGACTCATAGCTGAGCTCCCTTTTTTTGTTTTTTGTTTTTGTTCTGGTACCGGGAATCGAACTCATGACCTTGCGCTTGCCAGACAGGTGCTGTGCCGCTGAGCTAAATCCCCAGCCTCCCTGAGCTCCCTTCAGGAGACTGAAGATGGCCATGGGGGCAACTGGAAACCCCATGCAAATGGACCCTTAAGCTTCTGCGAGCTGAACCCCCCAGAGGTGCTTATGGGGACACCCAAGTCCTTCAGATCGTGCTGACGCCACCCAGCCTGTGCTGAGTGTGACCAGAACTTCAGGAGCCACACAGGCCCCCGGCCATCTATGGGCATAGCCATGTGGGAGTGACGATCGCAGTGTCCCAGTGTGACGAAGGCCTTCCATCCAAGGGGACCACAGAGGGCAAGGGACATGGGATGTGGGAGGTGTACACACCAACAGCATAGTCTCTCCTGGTACCACACGGACCGGGACCCCGAGAACCCTTGCCAGCTCTGCCCCCCCAGGACACCATCAATGCTGCATGGTCTGTGCTTGTCCCCTGCAGATCTTGCAACCCTGAGAGCCCCTTCACTGTAGCAATGGCCGAAACATCCCCAGATGGATCCCCAGCACCTGGCAGCGAGGCGTCTCCAGGCGTCCGTTCCCAGGTGCACAGGTAAGTGGCTGTTTGGGTGCCAAGCATCACAGGAACTGTGGTTCCAGGCCCCCGAAGGGCTGCCAGGGCTGCTGGTGCAGGAAGGGCTGTGGCACTCAATGGTCGTGCTGACCCTGCCTCAGTATCCCCAGCACCAGGGACTGGGACATCTCCCGGAAGTGCCTGGTAGCTGCACACTGGGTGTCTCACACACACTTGGAAAAGAAAGGCAGGGACACAGCCCATGTCCCGAGCCTCGGAGTAGGCAGCTTTCACTGGGAGCTGCCTGCTAAGAGAAAGAAACACGTCTTCAAAGAGGGACAATCCCGCTGGCCTTCAGCAGCTTCTACCTCCTAGTTCTTGCTTAGGGATTTACAGGACAGACCTGTGTGTGGAAATACACTCTGCTTTATTCGGATAGCAAAAGATTTGGAATCGAACATGGTCATTCTAAACATGTGCACGTCGTTGAAACCAGGGCAAGCAAAGACATCCCTGTCTAGTCACCCTTGGTGTTCTTGGTCACACAGACCCCTATGTGAGGGAACCGGAGACCTCTGCCCTGCCTGATCTGTACATAGCACCCTAGGGACACCCCTTTGCAAGACAGACAGCAAAGATCTGGAGCTGGTCACCCTCCTAGGTGTCCGGCCTGGACAAGGCGAGGCTCCCTCACCCCCAGAGTCTCTATGGCTACTGAAATTGAAGTATGTGCTACAATGCTGGTTACATGGAATGCCCGCCCCAGTGGGCGTCAGTCGTGCGGGAAGGGGAAGGACAGGTGCCAGGAGGAGAACCTGGGTGAAGATGACGGCCAGGACTCTGGCCAAAGGGAAAGTGCTTCTTCCTGGGGGAGACTCTGAGGGCCACCTCCAGAGCTGGCGAGGAGGCACCTCCACAGCGTGGAGGCAGAGAGGAAAAAGACAGCAACGTGAAGTGCTAAGGCTGAGTGTGGGTGTCGGGAACCAGGGCGTCTACGGGACTGCGGGACGGGGAGGCACCTACGTGCCCGTGGCACACAGCAAGGACCCCCTGCAGAGGGCAGAAAACAGGGTCTCTGCCTGTCTAAGTAAGCCTGAGGCAGGAGCAAGAAGCCCTTTGCAGAGACATTGCTAACTTCCCAACCGGCTAAAGACGCAGAACTGGGGCGCCAGGCTCCCATCCAGCTCAGCAGCCTGGATCCTGCCCAGACCACACTGCCTTGGGAGGCGAGAGCTCTGCCCTGGTGGGCGGGGGATGTCGGTGGGGGGACTGGGGACCTGCTCGTGCCAGAGGTATCCTAAGCAGAGGATACCCACAAGGTTCTGGGGCAGCTTGTCAGAAACCTGGTCGCTGAATGTGGTCCAGAGAATGGGACTGTGCCATCTAGGGCAGGCACGGTCACCAAGCAGTGGCGGCCGTTCTAAGCAGAGTCCCCGGGGCAGCTCGCTGAGGAAGGGACAAGTCTGTCCTGCTGACGGTCCACGTGGACAGCACCTCTGCCCACAAGAGGACTCAGAGGCGAACTTCCCACTGAGGACAGGAACAGGGCAGGAGAGCAGAGGGCGGAGATGTCCCTCTCTCAAGGAGTGAGAGGCTCTCATGACTATGCTGGGGCACCCAGGGCCGGGGGGAGAGGCACTTAGATTCTTGGCTGCCATGGCATGGAGAGGGAAACTGAGGCACAGATAAGCACAAAGGACACATCCCAGGCAAACCACTGCCCGCAGCAGAGCCCGGATGGACCCTAGGCCCCCAACTCTGAATCCGACCCACACATTCCTCAGGAAAACACACCCAAGGACTCCCAGGGAGGGCCCCAGGCAAGACCCCCTTCTCTGCTGTGGAGAAGGGTTCTCTTCTGCTTCATCCTGGGCAGACCCGGCAGAGGAAGCAGAATTCTCTGACCTGTGTTTCTCACCTGACTGGAAGACCTCCCGCTTCTGCCACAGCAGCCAGGGCCAGTGGTCCTGAAGGGCAACTCCTGGGGACTCTTGCAGCCAAGCTGCCACCCTAACGAAGTGATGCAGGGGCTCAGAGGGCTGGGGTGCTCCTTTTGGTCCTCCAACCCCAACAGTCTCTCCCACTTCCGGAATGTCCTCTGCCACCAGCAAGCGGCAAGCCGGGATTCTTCCAGGTGGACCTTAAGTGGGCATGAGACCCTCTGGGCGTACTCTGTGCTTAAGACAGGTCTGCGGCAATGCCTGGTGTCCCTCAGAGGTGGCTTCAGCCATGTTGTCACCACCTACTTGCTAGGGTTTAGGGGGTGACCCCGCCAGGACAGCCCAGAATGCAGAGAGCCTGTCCACATGAGTGGGTCAGGAGGCCGGGCCACGTGGGGGTCCCCCAGACCTTCTCTAGGCCCTCTCTGTCCGGGTGGCTTGGGGGCCCCTGGCTGGTGCAGTACGGAGTCTCGGGGCCTCCACAAGCGTCCTTCAGAATCTCCAGGGCTCCCCGGAGGGCGCGATGGGCCACTTCTGTGCTCCCAGCCCCTTCTTCCTGAGCCCCGCACCTGTGTGGGACGAGACCATGGTGGTTACACTGAGCAAATGACAGCCCCTTTCTGCACCCGACCTCGCCCCGGGGCTGTGTGAAGACAATGAGGCAGGACCACGGGGTCAGGGCCAGTTCTGCGTCTGCGGCCCTCACCTGTGCCAGCTCTGCTCAGTCTTGTCTCCCTGGAAAGGCCGCATACGCGTTGCCTGGAGACACTTTTGATTGTCAACCCAGGAAGGTACGGCTTTCCAGTGGGTAGGGGCGGGGGGTAAGGCCTGGAATCTGCTCTGGCTCCCACCGTGCCTGGGGCCCAGGAGGAGGCTGTCATACATGCCGCCTGCCAGTGTCTCTGCTGCCTTCCTCACGGGGGCCAGTCCTGCTGTCCCTCACAAAGCACAGCTTGTCCAAGGGCACACCTGGCACCTCTGTCTCCTCCGCCCCACAGGGCCGGACACTGGAGCAGCCCCTCCAACCACGCATGGGGTGGACTCGCCCAAGCTCCTCTTGGCTCCCTCCGTCTCACAGGGAGAGGTACTCCCTGCCACGGCTGCACAGCCACCTGGCTTCCTGTGGAACCTGGGTCAACACTGAGACCCAGGCACACGGCTAGTTGGGTGGCAGAGCGAGACCCGGAGCCGGGCAAGGTGCCGCAGGACAAGATACTCCTTGCGCTATGCCTGCTACCCAGAGCTGCGCACCTGGTCTCTAGCTGGGTCACCTACAGCACAGTGGCTGGCAGGCGGCCGGGCACACAGCAGGAACTCTGAGACCCTGCTAGTTGACCTTCTGGCTCAGCCCAGGATGGGCAGATCAGCTCCCGCCTCGCCTCCACATCAGGGTCGGGCCCTGGCTGCATACCTACCTGTGTGGGAGCGGGTGGGCACCTGGGCGCAGGTGTAGACGTGGCTGAAGCGCCGGCCCGAGGAGGTCAGGTACCAGTGCTGGATGGCGGGCTGCGGGTCGTACTCCGTCACCGCCACCCCGTTCACTGCTGTCATCATGAGCATGTTGAGCACCTCATTGGAGAGCTTAGTCCTCTCGTCAGTCCTGATCCGGTTCATGGCCTTGAACCCACGCTCACAGCAGGAGGTGGAGATGGGCACGCAGACCACCACGGCCATGAGCTTGCTCAGCAAGGGGAAGCGGCGGTGCTGGGCCAGGGCATTTTTACACAGCATGGAGAATGGGAGGTTCTGGGCAGCCACCTTCAGGCCTAGCCACTCCTCCAGCAGTGCCTCCTCGCTGTACCCTGCAGGCAGGGAGAGCTCAAAGTGCCTGGCAAGGCTGAGAATGTCATCGTTCCCGAAGCAGGCCAGCTCCACCCCACTTGGCCAAGCCATGGTGTCAAACACCTCCATGTTCTTGAGCTGCACGGGGCGGTCTGTGTCAAACCTCTGCCGGAGGTACTCGACCCCCGTCAGTATCATCCTGTCCCTGTCCACCTGGAACCGCTGCTCTGCCATCTCCACCCTGTCCAGGAAGATGCCGTGGAGCTGCCCGTCCCGGAAGCTGGCATTGAACTCTTGCTCTTTGGGTCCCGCCTGGTGGCGGAGGGCCTCCAGTGCGATGTAGGCGCGCCCCAGCTCGGAGTTTACCTCTGTGATCAGCACCATCTCCTTCTGGCACACCTCAGCCAGGGGCCTGTAGATGCTGAGGAAGTCCAAGAGGAAGTGGCAGAACTTGATGAAATGGAAGCCCTTCATCAGCTTCAGCAGGCCCTGGGCCCTGTGCCCGACCTGGCCCCCTGCTTCTGCCACAGTTTGGAGGTGCCGCGCCAGCGCAGGCCAGCTCACGATGAGCGCATTCAGTGTGCGCCGCTTGCTGGCCACCCAGCGGACAGCGTTCAGGTCCTTCAGGCGGACGATTTCCTGCTCCAGGGGCGCCGCGCTACCCTGCAGCTCATTCAGCCTCTTGTTGGAGGTCTGGTAAAACTTGAAGATGGTCCGGATGTGCCGGTCACACTTCCTCACCAGATCAATTCTCCCACAAGCGTCCACCACGGCCATGTGCAGCTGGTGGGCCACACAGTGGACAGGCAGCAGCTGCGGGATGATCTCCTGGAACTTCTCAACGAGGCCTCCCTTGCAGCTCAACATGGTGTAGCCATTGGTGCCCAGGCCCACCACCCAGCCAGGCTTCCGGAAGGGGATGTCCAGCTCATCCAGGGCTGCGATGATGGTCTCGAAGTACCCATCCACTGTCTCACTGTAGAGTGGGGCCAGGGTGATATATGACTCTTTCACCTCCAGCTGCTTAAGGTAGCGGATGTAAATCCCCACACAGGCCTGGTCGGAAGAGTCCCTGCAGCTGTCCAGCAACACGCTCACACATGGGGAGCTGCGAATGTCCCCGAGGATCTCCTTCTTCAGGGTCTCTGAGATGTATTTGATGAACTGTGTGCATGCGGTACGGTTTCGGTACTTGCCTAAAATCATGGTCCCCGTGCTTTGGAGGAGCTGCAGCATCTTCTCAAAGTCATTCAGGGGCCGGGAATGGTACGCAATGGAGTAGGCAGCATTGAAGAAGTGCTCCATGTTGGCCATGAGGTCGCTGGAGATCTCTGGGACCAGGGTGGCCTGAGGGCTGCTGTCTTTGACCTCCACAGTGTTGACACAGAGCTTGTGTGCCTTACTGACTTCGTGGTACTTTAAAGTCTCCACCTTAAAGGGCCCAGTGTAACCTTGGACTAAACGAGATGACTTGTCATGGAGCGTGGGTCTCTCTTTGCAGGCTGAGCAGAAGAGCTTGGTCTCGGTGGGGTCAACTACTAACCAGGGGAATTGCCCAAACCATGACCTCTGAATGGAACGGGGTCTGTAAGTCCTCTGGGTTTTCCTAGGCCCACCCACTTCTCCTGCATGCGTGCTGGAAGGGCAGTAGAAGGCAAGCATCTCCTCAGGAGGAGCGGGAAGTGATGCAGATTCTGTAGTGGGGGCCGGAGTGTCTGCCTCTCTTACTGCTGCCATCCTCTTGTTCCCTTTGGAGAAGATTTCATCATGCTTAGTTTTGACCTGCAGTTTTCCACCCGTGAAGATACCCCCATCTAATAAGTGCCCCCTGTGAAAAGCAGAGGAGCTGAGCACGATGCTTCATGAGGGATCACTCCTGGCTCCTCCGTAAGCCCTTCCCCGTCATGTCCTGTGAGAGCCAGTCTGGCTCCCCAAGCATACCGGCTGGTCCTTGTGGGGTTCTCTGTGGCCTCCCTGCTCTACCTCCCCCACTACTCTGGGACCATGTGACACCAAATGCTAATAAGCTTAATGAACTACCCTTGAGAGGAGATATTATTAAACAGGTGGCTTTAATCCTCTTGGGAGACCCCACAAAAATGAGGTTAAACATCCCTAAGACTTCTAATGTGCCTTCGAAAGCAGGGAGGTGCAGAAGTACCCTTAGTGGCCAACCAGCCCCGCAGTTATGGACTAAGATGTGGAAAACAGCCACGTCAAGACCCATAGTGCTGTCCTGTATGCCCTGGACAAGGAGTACACAGGCTGGTGCTAGTTCCCGGCATCCAGTTCCCCCACCGACCTTCTCCTCCTCCCATCAGCTCTGCCACAGCCCCCTTCAGCACTCCTACTCATGAAAGTATCTCATTTTTTCTGCACTATCCAAGTTTCCCAGATGATTCTATATTCTGCTGGCACAGTTCATTTTTCACTCTTCTTTGTCGACCCTAGTGCAGGGCCTGGTACTCAACTGGTCCCAGTAAGTGTGACTGACCCAATGTCATGTGACTTGCCATGGCTGCATGAGTCTCCCAGGTGCCCTTCAGAACTCAGTGGGTTAAGACTCACCTGGTGGATGACCTTTTCCCCACTTCAGCCCATCTGGATCCTTGATCCAGGGTGCAGATCTCTGCTCCAGTTTTGAGATCAAATCTGGCTTGGCAGCAGCAGGCCCTATTATAGGCATAAAGAGTCACACTGTTACACTGCCACAGAACATCAGTGGCCCGTCTCAAGTTAGGCCTGGCCCTTGAAACACACGGGGATGCCTGGGGTCTACACTTGGCAGAGCCTAGCTGGCTGGGGCCGGCTGAGAGCCCTCCTATCCAGCACGGCAGAGCGGTGGCCTGGGATGGCCATGCCCCTTAGCCAGGATGGATCACTTCCCAGCTCCGTGGGCAGCCTGGAGAGGGGCCTGCAAGGTGCATCCAGAGACACGGGATAAAACAGATGAAGGAGAAGAGGGTAGAGAAGAAAAGCAAAGCCACACAAGGGGTAAAGGTCACCCCTACAACTGTCTGGGGCACATGCCTACAACACAACTGGCAGGCTTCTGGCCAGGTGGCCAAGTGCGGAGGGTGCTTGAAGGGCTCTAAAAAAACATCTGTCACCAGCGATGGACCCTGAAATCTGGCTAAAAGAAATCTGCCCTTCAAATAGGAATGTTATTCAGGGATGCACAAAAAAAATTGCTACTTTTAATTATAATGAAGTCCATTACCACCTACTTATAGATTCTATCTGTATGTGTGTTTACTTTCTTTGGAAATACAAGTAAATGGTAACTGTTGGTGCTTCTGCAGAGGAACTGATGGGAGGGGGAGGAGGTTTATTTTTCACCATCTTCTGGGTCACTTGCATACAATTCTATTTACTATGTAGATATTTGTGTATATCTATATATCTACCACTAATAAAAATATTGCTATTAAAATGGGATAGATGGAATTTATATCCTTCTTCAGCAGAGGGATAACATTAAAAGGAACCCTAAACTGAAGAGGAAGCAGAGTAAGAATCGCTAACATATTAATGTAAGAGGGCAAGGAGACAAAAGAGAGAAAAACCAACAGAGCTGACACCAGTCACCTGCAGAGCAGGTGACCAGGGGATGCAGGATGCTTTGCAAGGCAAAATCCAGAAAGACTCAGAAGCAGGAGGCCCTAGGGTGGGGAGGGTGGCAGGCAGGGATATGCAGAGCAGGGTACAGGACCAAAGTCTGTGTGGAGACCCCCAGGCCCTCTTAGACCACCTCACCCAGGAGGAGAATGGAGGCTGAGTCCACAGGAAAGCGCACCAAGAAGCACTCCAGACTCCAGGACACAGAAAGGGGAAGGAGAGCGTGGTGCTGAAAACAGATGGGTGAGGTCTGTAGACTGAGGAATGACTCAGCTCAGCTTATCTCCTCCAAGCTAGAAGAATTTTCTTTGCTCAGAAGGAATCCTCCCCGAAACATCAATGGACAGCGACTTCAGCGGGCTCCCTAAGGAGACATCCCTATTGCGGTTGGTCCCCTACAGTGTCCCAGGCATGCACAGAGCTTCCTATCAGTCCTTAAAGCTTTTCTCTTGAACAGGAATGAACTACGAGAAAGTTGCTGGAGAAAGGCATCTAATATGAAAGTGAGATGTCGCAGTGAGCACCTTTGGTGTGGAGGATGAAAAAGATTACTCAGAGACGGGATTTAGTTGAATTACTGAGAGGCTCAGAGGGGCCATTTCTCAATTGAGAGCATCCAGCCATTGGGGAGACTGGGAGAAGAAAAAAGCCTTGATGCTGAGAACTCTCTGGCTCTTATTTAGAATATGAGTAAAAGGAAAAAGCAGAATAGCAGTTTGGGCACAGAGCTATCTTAAGGCCAGGCAGTTTTTCTTGGGGAAGGGGAAGGACAATGGCCGGACCCAACATGCTATACTAATCTAAACTTCCTGTTGTTTAACCATTTCATTGTCACATAACCTGTGTGCTTTTGCCCCGTAGTTTAACCATTCACTCCCCATAAAGCCTATCTGCTTCTGTCCTCAAGTTTAATCCTTTAGTTTAATCATTTACTTCTGGCCAGGTCCCCACAGAAAGGCATGCAGGGAAAAGCACTGAAACTAGAGATCGCAGACTGACAAAAAGGCATAGCTTCCCAACAGCCAGAATAGGGAATATCTGCAGGGCAAAGTCATGAAGGAACGGAACGCTAACATGGAACCCTATGCATGAAATATTAGGGTGCCTAGATACAGAAACACCCGACCAAAAAGAAAACAATTTCTAGAAAAGAAAATTGAGGAAATCACTAAGAAAGTAGCACAAAACAGACAGAAGCAGAAAACAGTAGGAAAAAATACACAAAGAAGCACAAAGGCAGAGGCGCAGTCCAGAAAGTCCAACAGCTAACTGTTTTCAGAAAAAAAGAGAAAACAGGAAGAAATGATGTTTACTATAAAGAACATTTCCTCAAACTGGAAAATACGTTTTCTTGTGCAAGGTAAGCCCCAGCTATGCAGAACAAAAAATAAGTAGCAGTCACATGAATGCGTACCATGGAGCATTTCAGAACACTGGGATAGGCTTGAAAAGCTTTCAGTAGAACAAGTATGCACTGTTCAAAGATTTAGGAATAAAAAGTCATTAAATGTCTCAACAACAGCAGTAAAACCTGACAGAGCAATGCTTCCAAAAGCTGAGGAAAATTGCTTCTGATCTAGAATTCCATGACTAGCAAGTTGTCAATGGACTGTGCAATGCTTTTGGAAGGTACACTGTGTTCAAGTGCCCAGGGCCCTGTGTAAATACAAAACCTCCGTCACCCCAAAATGAATGACTACTGAAGTCATCCCTGACTGTCTGGGGAGCCACTTAAGAATTACGAACAAGTGGGCTGGGGAATGTGGTTCAGCGGTAGGACTAAAGAACTAGGAACAATGACAAAGTCTATAGGGCAGGAAGTTTAGGAAGCAACCCAGACCTTAGCTGCAGTGTAATGAAGGGACAGGACATCAGTGATAGCCTCATTTCCTGTCATCCTGCAGAAGTCATGGCACAAGTTGCTGCTGCAGTTCCCAAGTCATACACAGCAACCAGCTCAGCAAGCCTCTGCTGTGATATGCGTTAGTGAAACATGGAAGGAAATACAAGCTCAGACAAGAGGACACGGGGGTGGGGGGGAGTGGGTGAGGGAGAGGGGAGGAGAGGGGAGGGGAAAGGCTGTCTTGATGCTGCATAAGAACCCCGACTGTCTGCAGGCCACTACCTTGCTCCTAACTAGTTCTCCAAGGCCCAAGGCTGCTGACCCATGCTGGCACCTGGCAAGAACGAAGAGCTTCGGTGCCGCCTGCAGACAGAGTGTGGAGCCCACTGAGAGGCCCTTCACCTCCAGTCCTTGCTCAGGTTGTATCCTTCCTGCTGTGTCTACTGGTTTTGCCTCCATTAAAACTTCCTCTCTGGGAAGCCTTCCTGATCCCTCCCTCTGCTGTCAAGGCTTGGCCTCAGCAGCTACAGGCACTCTTCCTCTTTGTCTCTCTACCTGTCTGTCTGTCTTTCTGTCTCTCTGTGTTGGCAATACTGGGGATTGAACCCAGGGCCGGTGCACTGAGCTACATCCCCGGCTCAATTAAAAAGTTTTTTTTTAAATTTTAGGATGGGGTCTTGTTAAGTTACTAAATTGCCCAGGCCAAGCTCACACTTGTGAGTGAGTGTAATCCCAGAGTGCTGGGATTACAGGCGGGCACCACCACACCCGGCTCTGCCACCCTCTCACGGAGCTTGGATCTCTGATGCTTTCTCATTCAAACGCGTGCCTCTCCCACAGGCCTGCAATCCCTTTGAAAGCAGAGACCCTGGCTGGTGCATGTTCTTCTGGCATGTAGTAGGTGCCTACTAAATGTCTGCTGGAGGATGGACACCTGTCTATATAGGCAGATGCATAAAGAGCACTAAAGTAGAGAATCCCAAAAGTAGAGCTCTTCCCCTCAAAGGGCAGTAACTGGAGGAGGACCATGGCCAGGTTCAGATGGTCAGATTATGGTGGCACAGAAGGGCACTTTACCCAGGGATGCCAGTAGCTCGTAGTTCATCTGCATCACGTCTCGGTACAGCTCCTTCTGCCGCTGGTCCAGCAGGCCCCACTCCTCCTGGGTGAAATACACCGCCACATCCTCAAACACAGCCGGAAGCTCCTCGAGCACCACAGGTACCTCCAGCAGTCCCTCCTCTGCAGGGGCCTGCAACAGAGAGCAGACACTCACTTCTGGTGGGGCCACACGACGCTTCCTGGGGCTGCTGAAGACCCAAGTGTCCTGGAAGCTCACAGACAGGCCCCGATATTCACTGAGGAAGCAATTTCTCCATTACAAGGCAAAGAACCAAGTTGGGGAGGGCCGGAATTAGCAGGTAAAGCCATATGGGCCTCCGTCAGAGCCTAGGCCTTCCTGGGAGGAAACAGAAACACCCGGTTAGGACGGGCGTCTCATTAGAGCCCCCCAGTCCTAGTGGCAGTGTCCTCTACTCATCTTCCTGTGACCGCAGAGGTGAACCCCTGCCTCTGGGAGCACCTGCCAGGATTTCTCAATGGGACGCGAAGGCAGTAGTGACAAAGAACTAAGGGTGCTCATAATCCTTGACAGTGCAGGTTGATATCTGCCTCACTGCTAAAGGAATTTGATTATAAAGGTTAGACCTGTTTCTTAGACTAAAAAACAGCAGGAATAAGAGCAAGAGGAAAGAGCTTTGTTGTCTTCCTGGATTCTGGGAGAATTCAAGCTTACTGATTTTAGCCAGGTTCCTTCTGATGTTAGCTCTTAGGAACATCTGAGCCACTCTCTTCAGGTTCTGGAAGGGAGCACTAACAGTGCCTCAGAGGGAAAACCCTGCTTGAGTGCAACAGTGGAGAAATGGGGAAGGTTCTAGCTCCTCAAAGATTCCAATTAATATCATTTCCTTAGGGACCAACTTTCCTGAAAATTATCTGGTTACAAAATAAACTTAAGGTGAGCAGTAGGTCATTCAAGGAGTGGAAGGAAAGCACCAGGCTTGTGGTCAAGGGCTCTGGACTGAGATCATGGGCTCTGGACTGTCATTGTCTGTTCTCTGGGTGGAGGTGAAGGGCTCTGGGCAGAGTGCAGCATTTACCAGAGCAGCTCATGGACTCTGCACACGTCACGTCAAGTCACCCGAGTCTTAGTTTTCTACCAAAACAATAATTTTAATAATACCTGTTCTACTCCCCCATGGCAATAGTAGGCACATTACATCACACAGCATGTGTGCTGCAGCTGTTTCGGATTCTGGATAAAGATTATCTTTCCTTTCATCAGAAGTTAGAATGTTCTAGCTCACTGATTGTATTTTTTATCTGCAAAAATGAGATGACAGTAACCATGCAGTTGTCTGAATTAAGCAATACCTTTAAAGCACTTAAAATAATACCTAATAGACTATGAGTTACTCTTTTTCATCATCACTGTGTGATCTATGTTGTTCTCTTGGGAATCTTTTAAGACAAGCAGTCATTACAAGTGTATTACCTGCCTGCAGAATTCAACAGTGTCACTGCACAAAATGTTTGAGGAGTCGTGGGTGTCACTGGAGATTTCTTTTTGCCCTAATTCTGCCATGCAGTCCACGTACAATGCAGGTATTGCTGCACTTGGCCCAGGGTCCTCCAGTTCAGCTCTTGAACTCGGCAGGAGCTCTGTCATCTTATCAAAGTCTCCCAGAGGCTCTGGCGGGTAGAACACGGGATAATCTGCAGGGAAGAGGTGCTCAGTGCTGGCCAGGACACCTGCAGACCCGTCTCTGATGCTCCGGAAACGGGCTGCCCAGATGGGGTCGTGGGCGGCCAATGCATTGACACAGAACATGTGGGCTTTGCTCTTGGCGTGGTACTTGAGAGTCTCCACCTTGAATGGTCCTGTATAGCCTTCTATTAATCTCGACCGTTTGTCCCTGACGGATGGGTATGCTCGGCAGGCAGAGCAAAACAGAGCCGTCTGCTCCCTGTTCATGATCAACCATGGAAACTGTGCAAACCACGACTTCTGGATGGAGCGGGGTTTCTTGCTTCTTCCTGTCCAGTCTCCTTCAGCGGTGCCACCCTCTGGACTCGAGTGGGCAAGGCAGGCTTTCTTTGGAGGTGGCAGGTATGGTCCACTGTCCCAGGCGGGACTCTGCACATCCATTTCTTTCATGTAGCCCACCTGGCCTTTCCCTTGAGAGGAAAGAGACAAATGGAATTTGCTTTGAAATCCAACTGCAACTCCAGCGGCTCTGAGGTCCGTTGGACACAGAAGGTGGGAAGCACACGCTCAGTACAACAAGGAGACTCAGGCTCTCCGTTCCCTAGTGACTCGGACGTATGTCATATTTGAATTCTCTACTTTCAGTCCTCCAAAGCCCCTGCCTGATCCAGAAGAAAATCAAGGAGATGGGTTTGAAGGGAATCCCCTCTTTCAAACAAAATGTAAAGGACCTGCTCTAGGGAGAGCTTTCCACTGGGACCAGTGCTGCCTGAGGCAGTGGCCCTATCCTCAGGGGTTTGGGCCTTACTTATGGATAAGGACACTGGCGTCACAGAAAACGGGACTGAACAAGGTCGTCACACCACACAACAGAACTCTTTCCTCTGCAGGAAGCTGGTCCTGTGATGGCCCACCAAGGGGCACCCGCACCTTGTTCAAGTACTTTTGGGGCAAGAGTGTTTGGATGCCCTGGGCATGACTGCGGTTCCAGATAGTTTTTTCTTTTTTTCCCTTTTTCTTTTCCTTCTATCTTTTCTTCAGTACTGTGGATTGAACCTAGGCCTTCGTACTGAGCTACATCTCCAGCACTTGGTGTTTTTTTTTAAATTTTGAGATAGTGTCACTAAGTCACTAAATTTCCCAGGCTGGCATAAACTTGCAATCTTCCTGCCTGAGCCACCCGGAGTTCTGGGATTACAGGCATATGCGACCATGCCTGGCTCTCAGAGAGTTTCCTGTAAGCTGCCGTCTATCTCTGGTAGAGCAGGCTCCTCTCATCCATGGGGCGTATATTCCAAGCCCCCAGCGGGTGCCTGGGCCACGAGGTGCACCAACCTCTACATGACTGTGTTTTCTTCCTATCTACACATACATGCGATAAAGTTTAACTTACAAATTGGGCACAGTAAGAGACTCAAAACAACTAATAATAAAGTAGAATTTTAATAATATATTGTAATAAATAGTATATGAATCAAACCCTCTCTTCTCTCCCTCTCTCCCCAAATATCTTACTGTACTGTTCTGACCATGGTTATCCCAAACCTCGGAGAGTAACACTGTGAATAAAGGGAACCACTCACTGGACTTCTGCTGGTGATCCCCATGCAGCGTTCAAGAGAAACTCAACTTCCTCTCTTCCATCACAACCCTTCCAGGAGGCTCATGAAGCCCTTTCGCAGGCTCATGAAGATTTTCTCCTTCAAGCTGAGGCAGATGTTTCCTCTCTCACCCCTCACATGAAACGCAGCTTAGATGACCGGCTTCCTGGAGGCACTGCTCGTGTTTCAACATAAGCTCAGCGCCCAGTGGCCAAGGACCCACCATTCTGCTCCAGGCCCATGAACCAGTCTGCAAAACTAGAGCCAACTCAAGAGCACAGCTGTCCCGAGTCAGTGGGCCCAAAATGAAGGGCTGGGCAAGGAGAAACCAAGGGAGGTTCTGTGCTTCTGATGCTTTAGGGAGCCACAAAGCAGAAGTCCAGGACAGCAAATTTTGTAACTATCTGATGTTATCGTCCACTCTTGATTCTCCCTGGGCAGAAGCTATTTACTTGGGCACCTCACTAATAACAGGGTGCCACTGACCTGGCTCCAGCTAAGCCAACCAGACAGCTGCTCAAGGGGGAAGAAAATCCTTAAAGCTTAACTACTAGCTGTTCACTCATTCCTTCAGGTCGCGTTCATTCTGTGATTATCTGCCGCACAAATACTGCGTACCAGCGCTGTTCTAGGCAGGGGAACGTGGCAGATCGGACAGCCACGCCTTCCTGGAGCTTTTAATATAAATAAACACATGGCAAGGGAGCTCGGAGGGTAAGGAGTGATGCTGGGGAGGTGTGGTACTCAGCGGAGGTGACCAGGGCAGGAAGGGCAGCGTTTGCTGTGGAAGGTGCCAGAAACAGCCAGGGTGGAGGATGAGCCTCTGGTCCCGGTGCCCTGCACTCTCCCCGTCCCTCACCACTTACCGGGGTGGTGGCCCAGAAGACTCCTGTGGCTATGGATGTCGCCTGGCCACGGCTCGGACCCTCGCCCAAACTCCCTGAGCAAGCTGGGGCCGGCCATAGTCGCTCCTGAGGCGGGAACAGAGGAAAGCACTGTGAGGGCCTGGCCTCGGGTCACATGCTAAGGAGGGCCTGGCGGGGATGTCCCTCCATGTCTTGAGGTCACAGGCAGAAGGAGAAAGCAGGACTTGGGTGGTACAGCCCAGTGGTTTGGAAACTCAGGGACTCACGAGACCCTTAGCAGGATCGGAGGCTGGGGGTGAGGTGCCGGGTGAAAGCAATGAGAGACTGGCAGGGCCCAAAGCTGTGGAACCAGATAGAGGCTCACAACCCCAGCGCTGATAGGCAGCTGAGGAAACCAGGCCAGGCATCGGGGCAACGGCAACCCAGAGGACGTGATCCTGCAGAAGGGGAGCTACACAGCTCTGCAACGCCACCTCCAGGGACACAGGCTCAGCACTGCCACAAAGATGTCAAGAGAAGCTGAAAAAACATATTTTTATATGAAGACTCCCAATGGCCAAATATTGGCCATTTTATTTATTTACTTAATTTTTCTGTAATACTGGGGATCAAACAAATTCAGGCATCTCCTCATTAAGCGACATCCCCAGCCCTTTTTGATTTTGACACAAAGTTGACCAGGCTGACCTCAAATTTGTGATCCTTCTGCCTCAGCCTCCTGAGCAGGTGAAATTACAGGCCACTGCACCTGGCATTACATAAATATTTTAAAGACGACAATCAAATGCAGTGAAAGTGAAAGCAATATTCAAAAGTCTGGAAAATTCCAAAATTTGAGACACCCCAAGAGGACAGTGGCGATGTGCATATTGAGAGGAGGTGATGATACTGAAAGATGGTGGGTTAAATAAGTACTGTTCATTTGCTTTGCTTCTTCCCTGTGAATTTCAAAGGACACACACACCCTGAGCAAAACAAAACAGTCTGGGAGCCAAATCTGGTCCATGCACTGTGACTTTGCAACTTTTGGCTTCTGTGGTTCTCAGACCTTGTTTAGCAAGCACAGGAAGAAAGGAGACCCAGAGATGTCCTTCCCCACAGAGAAACCTGGGATTGCTGCTCCCCCAAGCCTTCATTCTTCTGCATGGAGTAAGAAAGGCATGGGAGGTATGCAATTAGCAAACACAGGCTGATGACTTCTCCAAAAGCCCTGGGACCAGAAGTGTCAGATTTTGGAGTTTTTCAGATTTTGGAATACTATACTTGCAAAGACTTACTAGATGAGCATCTTTAATCAGAAAATCCAAAATCTGAAATGCTCCCAAACCCCAAACTTTTTAGGTGCAAATGACTTTCAGAGGTTTTGGGCTTTGAGCCAGGCAGGATGGTGGCACACGCTGGAAATCCCAGCACTCTGGAAGGCTGAGCAGGAAGATTGAAAGTTCAAGCCCAGTTTGGGTAGCTTAACAACTTAGTGCAATCCTGTCTCAAAGAAAAAAAGTTTTGGATTTTGGGGCATTTCAGATTTTGAGGTTATAGATGCTAAATTTATAGAATATGAACATGCACACATGTTGGAATACAACTACTTCTGTCCTCGGTGCAGAAAGTCTACCACAGAAGAGCGAAAGGGCATTCAAAAATAGGAAATATCAAAGATAATGTATCTACATTTGTACAAAATTTTAAACCATTTTACATCATTAACTCTCCATGAGAACTATCAACAGAAAAAAATGGAGGCTTAAAAAGGCCAAGGGCACTCAGGTACCCAGCGTCAGAGCAGGGAGCCCGGACCTCCACACGGAGTCAGAGGCTGCCACTGCTCCCTCCTTCCAGGCTTCTGTGACCTCCCCAGCCCAGGGGTGAGGTTTCCCACTAGGCATCCAGATCTCCCAGGGTAGCCAGGATCTCTTGGACATCTGGGATCTCCCACAAGGTCAATGCTTGGCCGGCTGTGTTTCCCTAGCCTGCTGGCCACTTTAAGGGGAAGGAAGGGAGTGAATTTTCATGCAGTTAAGTTAGGAATGAAACCGAGAAATTGGCCACATAAAGATGCCTAGAAAATTGTTAGGATTCCAGACAATTCTCTGGTATGTCCTGGCCCAAATAAGATTGGGGGAGCCGATCTGGATGGACCGTGGTGGAGACATGCAGGAGTCCCTACCTGGGGGTGCCACCAGCTTGTCAGAGCCACAGAGGTCCTTCTGCTGCTGACTCAGCAGCATCCATTCCTCCTGGAGCAAGTACATCGTGATGTCATCAAATGTTACTGGAGCCTGCAAGGAAAAACAACACCTGATGAACACCATCTTCACCTGAGATTTACCTTCCATATGACACTTCATGACCACTGAGCGCCTCAGCTCTCGGAAAGAGCCAGGCAGGGTGGGTAGAGGGATTGCCAATTTGTACACATGCCCACCACCCCATCTGTCTCACCACCTGGGTACACAGCAAGGGAAGATGAGCTCTTTCTCTTACACTGTAACAAAACCAAGTGGCGAAGGAGGCTGACTCAAGGATAGCCAGTCCTCTCCCTGCATGCCCTGCACCTGCGGTCCCACCCCACCCATGCTTCTCAGCCACCCATGCTTCTCAGCCAGTGGCTCAGCAGGGGTGTGGCAGGTTGAAGTCCAATTGGGGCAATTCATGAGCTAGTACGTAGTCTATTTTACAGAATGTCCGTGTGAAGCTGAGAAGAATGTGTATTCTGATGTTGTGGAGTTGACCATTCTGTAGACATCTATTAAATCCATTTGTTCAAAAGTTCATTGGTTCAGTTCTAATATTTCACTGTTGAGTTTTTGGCTGCTTGATCTGTCTTTTTGTCAGTGGGGTATTGAGATTCCTCAATACAATTGTATTAGTGTTTGTTTGATTTTTTTTTTTTTTTTGTCTTTTGAGACAGGGTCTCGCTATGCAATTCATGCTGGCCTTGAGCTCACTCTGCAGCCCAGGCTGGTCTCGAACTCGCAATGATCCTCATGGCTCAGCCTCCCGAGTGCTGGGATTACAGACATATACCACCATGCCTGGCCTATTTGATTTTTCATGTCCGTTAATATTTGTTTTATATAGTTGGGTGCACTGGTATTTGTTGCATATATATATATGATTGTTATCTCTTCTTCTTGGGTTGTTCCCTTTACAAGGATGTAGTAAAATTCTTTGTCCCTCTTAATCAGTCTCAGCTTGAAATTCACTTTTTCTGCAAATAGAATATCTACCCTTCCTTTTTTCTGGGTTCCTGTCATATGGGGTATTGTTTTTCATCCTTTGACTTTCGGTCCATGCCTTTCCTTTTGAATTACATGTGTTTCTTGTATGCAGCATATTGTTGGATCTTGCTTCTTGATCCATTCTGCCAGTCTGTGTCTTTTGATTGGTGAACTGAGACTGTTAACATTGATGATTATAACTGATACGTATTGACTTATACTTGTCATGTTATTTTTCTATTGTTGGATCCCCCTCTTTTTTTCCCCTCCATTTGTTTGCCTTGCCTAGTGGATTCCTTCTGTTGGGGTTCATGGAGTAGCAGTCCTTGTTATCTCTTTCTAGAATGTCCTTCAAAACATTTTGGAGTGCTTGTTTTGTGGTGATAAATTTCCTCCAATGTTCTTTATCATGGCAGTATATTATTTCTTCATCAGTTTTGAAAGATAGTTTTGTGGGTTGAAAGGCTGGGTTGAAGGGTGGGTTGAAGGCTGTTTTCCTTTAGAACCTGAAATACTTTGCTCCAAGCTCTCCTAGAGTTGAGGGTTTGTGCTGAGAAGACAGCTGTGATTCTGATGGGCTTTCCTTTATACAACCTGAGAAATTTAGCAACACAGTGAAACTATATCAAAATAAAAAAGGCCAGGACTGTAGCTCAGTGTGAGGTCTCGGGTACAATTCCCAGTACCGGGGAAAGAAGAAGAAAAAAGAAAGTCAAATAAGGAGACAATGGCAATACAATCTAGAAGAGATGAAAAAGTTGTAACAACAGGTTCAGGAAAATCAAATCCTCAGTCTACAGTGGGCAAGGCTGAGAAATGACCCAATTTACACCACTAAATTCTCAGAAGATTAGGATCTGCTGCACAGGAAACCTCCGGCTTGGGGGTAAGGCAGACAGGCTGAAATAGTAAGGACTGGGGCAAAGCTAGTCCCCAGCAAATGGCTCCCCAGAGTCAAATGGCTCCCCAAATGGCTCTCTTCCTCATCCAGAGCCTCTGAGGTGGCAAGCCCGCCCCTTCCATCTGCAGAGCTCTCAGCTGCACGTCTGGCCCCTGCTGATAAAGTGAACTACCAGATACCTGCGGGAAGCTCTGAGGGCCCAGAAAGACAAAAAGGGATGGGGCTAGGGGCTGAGGGATGGGGGTGAGGCATGGAGAAGAAAACTTGAAAGCAATTATCAGCCCAGCATGATAGCACATGCGTATAATCCCAGCTCTCTGAGAAGCTGAGGCAGGAGAATCAGAAACTCAAGCCAAGCTTAGGCAATTTAGTGACTTAGTGAGACCCTGTGTTTAGAAATAAAAAAAAAAAAAGGCTGGGGATGTAGTTTAGTGTGAAGGCCCTAGGTTCAGTCCCTGGGGCAAAAAAAAAAAAAGCAAAAAAAAAAGCAGCAGCAATGATTGTTAATAGCTTCAGAGAGAGGGGTAAGATATTAAGGATGTGAAAGTCATAAAACAATCAGAAAAATAAATTTAAAACACTGTTCTATTTTTGTTTTTATTTTTTAAAAATGTACTGGGGATTGAAATCCAATACATCCTCAGTTCCCCTGCCTTTGGGACTGCGTCTCCCTAAATCACTAAGTTGCCCAGGCTGGCCTCATACTTGCAATCTTCCTCCCCTAGGCTCCCAGAGTGCTGGGATTACAAGTGTGTGCCGCTACCTCCAGCTCTGTTTATTCTTTTTAACTGTGTATCACAAAAAAATGTGTCACCCAGTCAAACAAATAAAAAATTATCAACAGAACTAAATCCTCCCCCTAGAGAAAAATTACATTTTGGGAAATAGCAGCATACCATTTAAAAAAGATGAAACACCCACTTTAACTTCAATAAATGCTTCTTGAGAAAAACTGTGTATTTTTAATCAGTTACCATTATAAATTCAAAAATTATTTGAGCATTTTTCTTAGACATCAACACATATTTACTACCAAAGAGTTGGACAATAGAGAAAATATTTTAAGGTCACCCCCATTCTGAAACAGACTCGCTATTAACATTTACTGTACAATCTCCCAGGGTTTTGTGGCACTGTACTGTGAAATGTATGCTTTAAATAACTGGGATTCTACGGAAGGCTGATCCCAGGGTGACTGCTGCACACCAGTGACCTGTGGTGAGTGGGGCAAGCTAAAAACTTGTGGCCAAGGACAACAAGCCTCCCACAAGTACCTTCCCTCCAGAGTTAGTGGGCATGGATAAGGAAGGTCACCTTGCTACACACAGACTGGAGATCTGGATGTAAAGCTGTTTTCCCAACAACAGTGATCACCCTTCTTAAACCACACTATGAGAGAGCTTTCTGCCTCAGGTGACTGCAGTGTAAAGAAACCCACAGATGTGCTTGAATGAGAGAACTCCTGATCTACGCAGGGAGTACCTTTGGAAATTCTTAGTGCTTCCCATAAAGCTCTCATTTCCCAGCCTAGAAGCTCCTTGATCTGAACCCAGCCCTTACTTACTTTGCTGTGCCTAGTCTCTCCAGCCAGGTTAGCAGCTCCGCAATCACCCTACCTTGCATCTCTCCCCTCGCTACACTCCAGTTTTAGATCCCTGACTGCCCATTTCCTCCCACTACTCAAGTCCTGTGCACATTCCATCTCTTTCAGGGGGGATTTCCCACCCACCTAACCCCAACACTGCTCCCTCCTAGCTAGGGAGGCTTTATTTCCCCTTCTAGTGCCGGGTACTCAGGAAACCAATGCAACTACCTTATTTTATATCTCCTTCACCAGCATCACCCTCTCTCTACCACATTGCACAGAAAGGATTTCATAGGCATTTAATTCATTTTTCATTCAACATGCTTTTATTATTTATTTCTTTCTGTTTGCTACATGTTGATCCAAAGAGATAAAAAGAAATTAAAATCAAGAGGACTCAAATCTATCAAGTGGTGACAGAGAAGCATGATATAAGTGTAATATAGAACTGATTTCAAAGAAAAAATGCTAGTCATGGTCACATATGCCTGTTATCACAGTACTCTGGGAGGCTGAGGCAGGATTGTAAATTGAATCCCAGCTTGGGCAACTAGGAACTTAAGTGAGACCCTGTCTCAAAATTAAAAAAAAAAAAAAAAAAAGAAGAAGCTAGGGATACAGTTCAGTGCAAAGCCTGGGGGAAAAAAGAGAGAAGGGAGGCGACATTTACAAGAAAGACTAGAGAGGGTTAGGAAGCACAGATGTTGAAGCAATAAATATGTTAATAAGGAAGAACAGACATTCCTCCTTTAATGACCAAGTCGAGGTCCTGTGACTAATTTGTTAAACAAATTGGTCGCCAAACAAGGAATTGTATATAGTATGTACGTTACAATGTTCAGAACAAAGAAATGGGCAAAGGAAACTCTAACTTGATGATTTTGCTTTTATTTGCATAACTTTTACACACAATACTGTAATGTATAACAAAACATAAGACCATAGTACTGTACTGTACAGGACAGTCAGCAAAAATTAGGACTGTATGGTAGAAGCCACCACAAGGCTGCACTGCTGCTCACATTTCTGTGTTGTAAGTCTGAATGGTGGCTTGTAAGTCTGAACAGTCATTAAACAGCTAAATGTTAAACAAGGAAAGTTGGGGCTGGGGATTTAGCTCAGCGGCAAAAGCGCCTGCCTGGCAAGCGCAAGGTCGTGAGTTCAGTTCCCGGTACCGGAGAAAAACCCAAAAAAAAAAAAAAAAAAAAAACCAAGGAAAGTCTACATATGTAGACTGCTATAGACGGCCAACAGCACATCCTCCCAGGAGGGCATAGGAAACGCTATAGTGTCCCCTGCCCTGCAGCAAAAGGGATCCTGTAACAATACTATTTGTATAAGCCACTCTTTCAAAAAAATACTTCCTGTGAACCTACTGAATGTCAGGTGTTGATCTATTGTCCTAGCTGGGATATTACACAGAATAAAGTTAACAAACATATAAATAAATAAATGTGAGAATTCTGTATAGTGATCAGAGCTGGCAAGAAAATAAAACAGGATAATGGGATATGAGGTGATGAAGAAAAGTATTTGGTATCT